CGATTTGACGTGATAATCGTGTGGATGACATTTGGAGCGATGTAATTTTCCACCGGGCAATCCAGCATTATCTTCTCAGGCATTTCAAGCTGAAAATTTTTGGCTGAACTTTTTTGAACTTTTTAAAATGACATCTTCTAAAAAAACTGACCACTGGCAACCCATTGGGCATTGGCCCGTCGAAATATGCGTCCATGACGTTCCAATCCATCGGCACAGCTCCCAGACACGCAGATCTAAATTGAGATAACGATTTGAAATGGCATTCAATGTCTGTAAAGTGCTACGAAGGGCAACATCGATGCAACAAAGAGGATATAAACGCACCTTTTTCGTGGAGGAGGAGGGTGGAGAAGCTGGATGACCGGGCGTACGGTGGGTGAGGGCTGGAGGCACTTTCGGACTTTGCTTACAAAGTTGTTGTATGCACGGGGTTCTGAAAAGAGGGAGTGGTGGGAAATTGGGGGATCGGGCTGGTAGCTGGTCGATGTGATTTGTGCATATTTGATGAGGCGAGATGGGAAAATGGGGCATTTTAAAGGGACTAGAAAAAGAGGTTGGAAAGAAGCCAAAAAAATCTGAATTTTTCAAGATTGCTAGTTTGAGCGCTGCCGCGATACGCAACGCGTAGGCTGCCGCGCCAGTAATGTGTACACTACCGCAACACGCAACGCGCACGCTGCCGCGGCACGCAACGCGCACACTGCAGCGACACACAACGCATACGCTACCGCGAACACGCAACGCGTAGGCCGCGCGGTCGACGTGCTACCGCGATATGCGATTATGCAATGGAAATCAGTGTGCGCGCGTTGCGTGTCGCGGACACAAAAAGTTCATAAAGAAAATCTCGCTTAGAAAATCCGTAGCCATACCTTGCCGGGCTCTTGAAACACACACACATAGCCTTTTCCTAGCGCTGGCACTCTCCTAGATTTTTCCGCAACGAGGAAGGCAACGCATACGCCGAGTTTTATCGCGTAATCGATTACGACTGTTGAAAGTTGGCCTAGCGCGCTGCGTGCTGCGCGTTGCGTGTCGCGGGTGCGAAAAACTACGCTTGTCTGTGCGTTTAAAGGCACTGGGAAGGCAGGGGAAGCGAATTTTTGGCAAGCCTGAGATACTTTAACAAAGACAAGCACTTTACAAATGCATGGAGCGCAAAATACTACCCAGCTGTACCCTTAAAATTATTGAATTTTTTAAAACCAGACCTAGTTATCCGGAAGTGGTTTGCACCAGTCAATCGAGTGGCCAAAATTTTTTGTGGTGTTATTGAGACGGGTATTGAGGAGGGGTGTGGATAGTAGAAAAGAGAACGTAGAGGCGCGGATTGTTTGCCGATTTGAGGAAGCGAGACATCGTCGACAAGACACTTTTCACGCCTTTCTACCCCTTCCCGCAACCCCCCTCCGAATCGTGTGTCCAACCCAAGCATTATGATCCTCTGGGCCCTGGGTCCCTGGGTCCTTGGGCCCGCGGCCAACCCATACAAACTGACAGATGGATACAAGGGCCTATATAGATAGCGCGAGAATAACAGCCACGCGAGGTTTTCAGGGAGGACAATGGGAATGAAAATGAAATGAAAATGGAGCGCTTTCCACCGGGTTTTTATCGCGCACCCCCCGGGGGAGGGGCCCGCAAAAAAATTTTACATGAATCAGATGGCACGTTGACCCCAGAAATTGTAAACAAACCGTTGAAAAAATAGAGAAAAATACTATAAAAATACAAAAAAAACGGAGCGCCGCCCTGCAGGGGAGGGCAAGGTCCAAAATCCATCTTGCAAAGGAGTGGAGAGGTATCGCCATGGTTGGTTTAAGGAACGTACAGGATGTAAATTACAGGGCCCGCGATACGCAACGCGTTCCTGAGACCCATGACGCACGCCCGCGACACGTAACGTAGGCCAGCGACACGTGGCGCAAGCTTTTGAGCTCGGCGCAAGACGCGGACAAAGACAAGCAACGCAAGCCGTAGAGACGTAGCGCAGGCCCGCGACACGCAACGCTACCTCGTACATCACGGCAAAAGACAGCGATACGCAACGCAAGCTAGGGAAGCGCGGCAAAAGACAGCGACACAGACACGTAACGCAAGCCCTCAACATGCAGCGGAACCTCGAGAATGGCTGCAAAAAAGAGCGATACGCGACGCACGCTCCGGATACGCAGCGCAATCCCTCGACTCGCAACTCGAAATTGTGGATCGCGGCAATAGCGACACACGACGCATGTTCAGACGCAGGGTCAAACCGCGACACGCAACGCGAGCCCACGACGCGAGCGTAACCTTGTGACTCGTTACGGCCCGCGGAGCCAACTAGTCCATAGAAACCCAGGGCCAATAAATCTAGTTACCAATCCCTTTAAGAGATTTGGAAGCGATTTTGAGAGAGTTAAACCGACTGAAAAATAGATGACAAACCCAGGAAAAATCACTGGCGCATCAAACTCTCCAAGCGAAATTGAACGCATTTTTTGCGTCGTTTTTTGTATCTCCCCTCTCTCCTATCCCTGTTTGCCGGCGCGCTACACGCATTTTGCGCGCAAACAAACCTGTTTCGCAACATTTACTGTCGAAATAGGAGTAGGAAATCTTAGGGTAAAAATTGGGGGAATGAAAATGACAAAACCGAGCCGAAACCCGTCATCAAAAATCAATAAGCCTTTGGTTACCCCATCAAATCGGCAACTTCCTTTTCCTGGGAAAAGTGCCCAAATCCACGAGTGATAGGGATAGAGAAAACTATCCAAACACATAAACGGATCCTCAAAAAGTGGAGCCACTTAGGTGGGGAGCGTGAGAGAAAACAGGAGTAAGAGGAGGAGCACCAACAACAAGATCAATAGCGTTTTCGTCGGAACGTTTCGAGGATGCGGGGTGGAATTCGTGAGGTGAGCAAACTTACTTTTCAGGCGTCGACGAGACGAACGGGGGGTTTTGAAGTCTGACAGCATGTTTTTTTTGTCTAAATAAGAGGCTTTTGGGGTAGAAGGGTTTGAGGAACGTCTAGAAATTTTTTAAAAAGTTAGAACAAGCAGTTTCTAGCGATTAAAAGATGTTAGTTGAGTCCGACTTTTGAGCTCAAGCTCATTCGGCAGAACTGGAAAAGCTTCATTTTGCAATAGTTTTTGTATGCTAACCATTTTCGAAAAAAAAATAGTGTTTAAAAGCGGGCCGATATTGCTCATTTTCGGCTCATGCTCAGCAAAAATCAAAATTTTAGAAAAGTTCTCAAAAAGATTCGCTATATTTTTTTTGTTTAAAATAATAAGCTTTTTGGGCTAGAGGACGGCCTAGAAAATATAGAAAAACTCTAGAAAAGCAGCTTTTTAGCGTTAAGGCGACGTTATGAGGGAAGCAGATGTTTTTTGGGGCGTTTTTGGGGAGGTTAGTGCATAAAAAAATGTCGTTATGCCACTTGCGTAACCCTATTACAGCCGTTATCACCCCTCCGACGGCTTATCAAAGGGTTTTCTGTCGTCATATATCGGTAATTCCCTCAAAATAACGCTCTAGAGGCTAGCGACGGCGTACTAACTTTGTATATATACGTCTAAAATACGAATAACTACGATATTCAGATAATTTCCGGAAACGAAAGCTTAAATCGAAGAGCAGCATTGATACGCGTGGTAGAAGCGGGTTGAAGTTTAATCAAAAAAAGGCAGCGTGGCCCTCGTGAGCCCTCCAGGGAGAGATTTGAGGCCCTGGACATCACTCAGCACCCTCCAACAAGCCCTTCTTTCATCCATACACACACCCATCCACTAGCATACCCACAACACCACCACTTGTCGAGGTCAGCGGCTAAAAAGTGTGAAAAACGCGTCGGAAACACTGTAAATTGGAAAATTCCGGATTTTGGGGTCTAAATGGACCTAAACCTATCTCCCCCTATCAGTAAATTTGCAAAGCAGAATTTTGTAAGCTATTTAGGTTCGGCGTGGCCCTAAAATCAAGCCGAGAACAGCTAAAAGCATTTTGTTGCATGCGGAGGTGAGACGCGACGCGACCGCACTTGCATTTTACATGTTCTAATCGATTACGACGTCTTAAAGGGATATGTGTCCATGGATACTGCCTAGCCCGCGACGCGCAACGCGCCCTCTATTGCGTAACTGGTTGCTCGATTAAATGGACAGGTAAGGTACGGCTATGAATTTTCTGCGCGCGGATTTTCGATGGATGCTGCCAGAGTTTCTTATATATTGATTTTCTCTGCCCACTGTCACGCCTGCGACATGCGACGCGCACGATGCCTGGGTTCCGAAACTTACCAGTGAATGGAGGGTTTGCGTGCGCGTCGCGTGCCGCGCGCACGGAAACGACCGCGTTGCGTGTCGCGGACGCTGCAAAATCTTTACTCATGCCTCTTTCCCGGCTGAGGCTTTTATAAATAAAGCTCTACAGGCCTTTGCAAAATTACGAAACACTCCTCCAGACGTCACGAGACCGTCCCGACCACGAAAAACAAATGTAAACCGAATAAAAAACTGCTCACGCGCATTGTCTTTTTGCCTGCTGTCCCTGACAATGTATTTTTTGGCTGTCTTTTTCTCCACAATGACTCACACCTCTTACAAGAATTTATTTCCGAATACATGAAACATAGTTGGTTGAATGGAACGGGGTAAATGGGACGAATTCAAGGGGGTTAATCGCGTTTACAAGGAAGGGAATGTCAAAAATGCCAAAAAGGGGCCAAAATCACAAATGAACAAAACTCGATGGCATAAATTCGGGCGTTGGGGGGGGGGGGAGAAAAAAAGATCACCTGTTCAGATTAAATAACAAATATACGGTAATACTTTTTGTATATTATGGGGGTATGAGATTTGGAAAATTTTAGAGATTCAAAATATTAAATTTTAGATAACAAGATGGGGCAGGACAAATTAGAAAAAACAAGGAAAGAGAACGTTTGAAAAGTAGGGGCAAGTTTTGGTGGAAAAGGTACCGTAACCTGGAGGATTACGGTATTACGGTCCCTACAGACCCTCGAGGGTATGGCGAAGTTGGATGATGGCGCCGAGAAGGTGCGTTGGAGTGGCGTCAGCGCTTGGAGTTTCGGCGAACAGAGCTCCTAACGCCTTTAGAACCTTAAAAGCGTTAGTTTTTTAGGAGAATGAGGAAAATTTCACCTGATCGATCTCCTCGTTGACGAGCTTTCGATGGAAGACGTCACACTGCCCCGCCATCTCGTCGATGACGTCAACGACGTGTTTGATCACTTCGTACATCTAATAGAGGTTTTTTTTGATGAGTTTAGCTCTCCCGCTCTCTCTCACTCTCTCCCTCGCTCTCGTTTCTCACTTCTTCCTATTCTTTCGTGCTCACTTGCTCTCTCGTGCTCAGTCCCGCACTGTATCGCTCCATTACCCTCTCGCGCTCGTCTGCTCTCTCATCTCTCGCTCGCTATCTCGCACTCTCTCTCATTCTCTGGCGCTTACTCACTCTCTCGCTGGCTCACTCTCACGTTATCGCTCTATCGTGCTGACCCCGTCCTTGCATCTTTCTCTCTGTCCCTCTGTCACTCTCATTCTCTCCCTCGCTCCATCTCTCTCTCTCTCTCTCTCACCTCAGTGGCAATCACAGCCTGTCCATCTCCGGCAGTATTGTATTCCCCGACCAGCCCCTCCAGAAGTTGCATCTCTTCGCACAGCTTCTTCTTCACTTCCGTCAGCTTTGGTCTGAAAGAATATATATTCTTAAGCCAAGTTATTTACCCCTTAACGCCAACCGGATCCTTTTGCGTGTCGTTAAGCTTGCTGCGAAGAGATTCAATCCTAAAAATTTTTTAAATCATTTAAGCATTAAAAACAAACTCACCGATGACGAACAATCTCAATCGAAAGTGGTTCTTCCACTTGCACGCTCAGCTTCTGGGTACTTCCGGAAGCATTTTGCTCATTGGAGAGGAGAGACCTTAAAAATTCAATAAATTAAGCTCGGTCTCCTACCTGCGACGCTTCGAGCACGAGCTCAGCAACGACGCCGAACTCACCGACTCCTTCCAGGAAGGATGCTCGGCTTCACGGCTATAGTATTGTAATTTACGATGCCGGATTAATCAAGACCTACCCAATAGCGATATGCTCGCTCTCAACACCGGTATATTCCTTGAGGCTCATCCGTCGGACTGGCACTTCTTCCATCGCGTCAGAGTTCTGAAATGGCATCTGGTGATTTGGTGCCGAGAACACCTGCCGTCCGCCCCCCTTTTTGTGTGAGTTCAGATGGGGGGAATCAGCTGTTTGGGGGGTTGATTAGAAAAGATTGATTGTCTATTGGGAGAGATGGAATGGGTTTAGTTATTATTATTTATTGGGGAGGTTCAGAAATCTGCGGGATTTAGGAAAATATACCGTAGCGTTTACATTAAAGGGACCAACAAGGCAGAACTAACGTTCATTTATATTTGACCGCGACGCGTTTTTTTTTGCATGATTTCTTTGGCACTTAAATTGGATTAGCGACGAGCGTATCGCGCGGCAGTTGTAGTAAAATCCATAGAGAATTCAAGCAAAAAAGCGTTTGTAGCTTGTAGCTAGCGCACGGAAACTCTAAGGAACCCGGACAAAAAAATCCATAGCCTGCCTTGGGAGTCCCTTGAAACCCAAAAATTTTCAATATCACCATACCGTATAACAACAGAATAATTCCGTAATGATCTCTGCTAGCATGCCACAATAACAAATAATAGAACGAATAACAAAATAGTAGAAATTCGTCTCCAGATTTTTCCCAACCATCCAAAGACGTCATCACCACACCACCTTCTACATTCTTAATTCAATCCTCCTGCTCCCCCGTTTTTCATGCGTTAAAAAGTTAGTAGAACCTAATTAATTGGGCTCAGCTGATGATTGGGCAGTACGCGCGTGACCTTAATGACACAAGGGAGGGCTACCGTTTTTGTTGTTCTTCCGCGTCTGGATTTCCAGCTGGAAAATTCCGGCCTTGCTCGACGGCTCCCAGGATATTTTTCTTCTTGTTCTCCTCTGGGGTGTGTGTATTTGGGGCTGGGACCGATTCCAGTGGTCTGCGGGGAGGATGGATAATTGAGGGTAGGTCATTTGGCATTGGGCCAAAAAGGGGAGCAAGAGGAGGAGGACGAGGAGAAAAAGAGGAGAATGAGATGGACAGCCCGGGTGGTGTGCTTCAACCCCGCCAAACATCTGGGAGCATAAGAGTGGATGGGGGGGGGGGGATGATGGCCTTTGCGACACCCCTTATTCACCATATTTTTTTGGGCTTATGGCTGGGGGAAAGGTCATTTTGGATATGTGCTAAAAGTTGACCAATAGGGACTCGAGGCTCAAAAGCCAAAGCGAAAAGAATTGTACAAAACGTTAAAGCCTCTAAAACGTCCAAAAATCGACCCCTGGGTTGTCTAGGTCTAGACAAAAAATCAAACTTCGCGGATTTTGGCGCGAACGAATTTGTCCAGACCTAGCTCGAAGCTGGGAATATATAAAATTTTTAAAGCAGCTGAAAGGTCTACAATCGACCCCACAGTTGCCTAGGTCTCGACAGCTACGCGAAACTTGAAAATACGAACGCTAGAAAATGAAATTTTGGCAGGATCAAACCGTCGAGACCTAGTCGCCGATAGGGGTCGATATGCGCACCTTCTAGGCCGTTTAAAAGCTAACCCCAGCACGTAAAAATTTTTATTTTTAGTTCAAGGGACGAGCAAGGAAATATTATCGATTTTCTCTAGATTTTTCTGTATTTTTCCGCATTGAAACACATAACGCGACCGCTATTTCATTGCGTAACTGGTTCCGACACTTAAAGGGGCTCGCGCGTCACGTGCCGCGGCGCGGAAAAATAGGCCAAAGGTTTCCAACTGCTTTGTCTTCTTTGGTCTCTTGAAAGGCTAGCAGAGAAAAGTTTTCTTTTCCCACTTGAAAACAATATCCCTTTTTCTTCAAATTTCGAACTACAAAAGTTTAATCTAAATTCAAAGAAACACATTCCCATTCCCCCGATTTCCATTCATCCATGCTAATGAAATAGCCCTCTCCCCACCTTCACCATCAACTTTTTTCCACACAAAAACAAATTATCCCCCCCCCCCCCCCCGTTGTTTTTGGCACACTACGCGATGCTCCCCATCGACGGGTCGTAAAATGAAAATAGATGAGGCCCTTACCTCACAGATGGAATTGCTGCGCCGGAGGAAGTCCTCAACACCCGCTCGATCCAGGTTCATTCTCGACATATACACGTCGGAACCTTTCGGGCGACGGTCGCTACGCTGAAAAGTTGAGAAAATATACTGTAATAGAGATTTAATGTATGTTTAGCTTAATTTTTCAGGTTAAAAAGGTATAGGAGAGGTAATAAGAGTAAACAAAACGTGGGTTAAGAGCCGACTCGCTGAAAAACAAAGAATATATATTTTTGACGATTTGATAGAACGTTTATTTTAATTTTTTTTAGGTTAGATACGTATAGAAGGGGTAAAAAGCAAGCAAAAACAGGGTTAAAAAACTAAGGAAAATTCTAAAAAGCAAAAGTTTTGTAAGATTGGTGGTTCGCTATGTGTTAAAAATCTTTAGTTCAAAATTCGAGTTTTACATTTAGAGATAAAAATAAAAAATTTTATATGGTATAAAAAATGTAAGAGTTCTAACGATAAAAACTAACTTTAAAAATAGGCTTTCCGGCGAATAACTATGGTTTTTTGGCTATGGATATTCTACGAATTTTCCCGCGAACGCGCATGCACACTTATCCCTTGCGTCGCGGCTAAGCGGTCGCGTTGCGTGTCGCGGGTCCAGAAAAAATGCTAGGTAAATCCATGGCCAAAAAAATTAATTTCGTATCTTTTTCGTCTCATTAACTCGGCAAAAACAAACAAAAAACAAAAATAGATAAGTTTAGAAAGACTTAATTTTAGAGATCTTTAAAACGTAGACAAAATAAACCAACAAACAACCCAAAAATAGAACCTAAAACCCATGTTTCTCCCTCAAAAGCCCTCCCCATTTTTTGCTTGTTGTCTCCGCCTTCGAAAAGCGCATAAGCTCAGAAAAGCGAGTATTTGGTGGGGGCTGGGCTTTAGAGAAGAAGCCTCCCATGCGCTTCCTCCCCTCTCATAGGTTGTGGATGGGTCCCGATGCATGGGGAGCAAGTTAACGGCTTTACCCCTGCCCCTGCCCTGAGGCCCAGGTGGCCAGCCAGGAGCCCCAGAATTCCGTCATACACCTATCGACGATAAGCCCTCACAAATGCCGGGGGCGCCTCTTGGGCCTCTTTTAGCCCCCAATGCTCGCATATGCTGGCTTCGGGGACCTCGGCAAAAACTGACATCCACGAGGTGACGCATAAAAATAGGGGGCAAACCGAAGTGGATTGCAGGGTTTTGGAGAGTCAAAAAACATGTCTTAATCGTTTTAAATTTTTTTCAGAAATTTTTAGACTAAAAAACTTGATTTTGAAGTTGAAAAACTATGAGAATTAGCAAAATATTGAATTTTAGGCATTCAAAATAATCTTAAAACGAAGGAAATTAATTTTAAAGGGGCTCGAAAAGTAAATTTCGATGGTTTACTGGCATCGCCAAACGTCTAAAATTGGCTCCGAAAAATTTTAAAATACAATTTTGAAGTTAACAGGGCAGGAGATTTTTAAAATGACGTATTTTTAGGGCTATAAACTCAAATAAAACCCGAAGATCCTACTATATATAAAAAAATAGTGTCTGTGTGTGTGTGTGTGCCACTTTACATCCACTTCCGCATCGTTGTTCCAGTAGTATCTCTATAGGGGAAGAAGTTAGGGGTGGGTACGATACGTCATTATGTGCCTAATGGTCTAGGGAAGACTGGCCACATATCAGGTTTATAAAAATCAGCCATTTTCGATATTAAATTTAAGTTTTTGTAAAACCCTCTTCGTTAGGAAAAATTAGCATTGACCGGAAGTGGGGAGTCGCCTATATAAAGGGTCACAAGCGAATCATTTTCATTTTTTTTGTCATCTGAATTCAGCGCAATTATGCAAAGCGTAGAACAGCATGCGGTCCAAGACGGGGCCAGGGTTGAAAAGTCGCGAAGCGGCTGTTCAACCCTGATTTATTTTAAAATCATGATGATAGTCATACAAAATCATGATGATTAATTTTAAAAGAGTATAAAGTCAAATCCCAGCCTTATCAAATTTTTGGCATGTTGCCAAAATGTCTACGCATCCTTCAGAAAGATAAATCGAATAATTTTAGCTTATACAGGCAAAATCAAGGATTGCAGCTTTCCATAAACCTAAGCCAGAGCTTAACCTTCCTAGCCCCTTTAAAACAAACCCAAAATTTTACTAAAAACCGGAAGCCGAAAAGCCACACCGACAGATCAAAAACCAAAAAAGCAGAAAGAGCAGAAGAAGAGGGCCGACAAAGCGGGGCCGTGCCTATTTCGTTGGCAAACAGGAACACGAATCGGGATGGGTGGATGGGGAGGAGGAGGAAGAGGTGGATGAGATGGAGAACGAGGATGGAGAACGAGGATGAGGATGAGGGTGGATTGGGCGGACCTGAGGGGGGAGGGCTATAGCCTCCTCTTCAGGTTGTACCCACCCTTTACCCCCTGGACCAAGCACACGTAGCCAAAAAAAAAGAAACTCACAGCTGATTGCGGGTGGGCGCCGTTGAGGGTCCTTCTCGTGTGCGCTGCCACGTCTAAATTCTATTTTATGAAGGGGTCGGTGGGCACAACACGGCTCTCCCCCCGTGCTGCTCATCTTTTTCCTATAGGTTCGGGGATAGGGTGGATTAGGTTTTGGCTAATCGGGGGGTTTAGGTAAGTTAATGGTTATTTTAGAAAAGTCTCATTAATGGGCGAAACTCGTACAATACCGTAGTTTTAGAAAGACTCTCATTACTGCGAGTAATGAGTACAATACCGTAGTCTCAGAGACGCTCATCAGTACGCGAAATTAGTATTCTTAAACGCTGATTTTGCTCAAGATACGGGGCAGATTTGGCTTCGTAATAGTAAGTTCAGGTAACCTAACGGTAATCATAGACTTTCCATAATGCGCGAACCAAGTACGAATACTTTTAAAGGCATTGGAAAGGCATTACCACCGGGTTTTGTGGGCTCTAGATTTTCGATGGATTTTGCTGCACCCGCTCCACGCGACGCGCACTCTCCGTTGAAGTCAAAGATTCTATTCCATTACGGTACGAAAACGCGCTCGAGGTGTCGCGCTCGCGGAAAAATCTACAGGGTTCTGGACGCTGAATCATATGAAATAAATTTTTCTAACAAAAAATTGGCCTGTATAAGCTATTCATAGAGCTTCCGCGACGCAACACGCAACGAAAACGCAGCACGTGACAACCGCGAAGCTGTTCTAACCAGTTACGTCATTAAACGACGGTGTGCGTCGCGTGTCGCGGGTCCAAAAGTATCTATAGCCAAAAGCGATAGCCAGATCTTGCAAGGGCCTTTAATCGCCTTTTTAAAAACTACCACACCATCCTACTCTTCACATACCTCGTTTCATAGCAAATTCAAATCAAAATCAGCCCCTAAACCAGAGCAATGACCAGTTTTTCTGCAGAATAAGAAGCATTGAACCTAATGGCTGGTCGCCAGCCCCCGGCAGCTATTCCCTCCCCTATCCACTGCCCCCTCTACCGACTTCCTAGTGAGGGCAATTTCATCGTCTATATAACGGAATCAATATAATACCCCGCCCAGCCAACGGCCAGCCAAAACTACCTTATGCTAATGGCTGTCAAAATGTTGCCCGGGAAGTCAGAAAGTGATGTGGGTGGGGTTTAGAGTTCAGAAAAAAGGGATGGTGGTCTGTCAAATGCAGGGTGGGTCACGTAATTTAGATAAAAGTGGCCAAAGCTTTGAACAATAGCGCTATTAAATCAATTTAAGTGGGAAAATGGCTTTAAAGAAACCGACAAGCCACGCGCCAGGCTCCGCTGCGTGACATCACATTCCGTTGCGCTTAGGGTACTGTGTTACGTGTTGCGTCGTGCACCGCACTGCACACTGTCGCGTTCGTGTCCTTTGCCTACGGCGTTGCGTACCGCATCACGTAGCGCATTGCGTACAGCGTTACGTTGCGCGTGGCGTATCGCGTGGCGTACCGCGTTGCGTATCGCTTCCCGTGGGATCTGCGTACTGCCAATTATGAAAAACGGGGAAATCTACAGCCAAACAGGGTTTGTCATGCCTTGCCAGTCCCTTTAGGACATCTAACCATCCAAAAAGTAGCTTTGGAAATGACTACGGTAGTCAATAAATTTATCCAAACGGAAAAGTAATGAAAACTAGGACTGCACTTGGATGAAATCAGCAGAATAACTACATTTTAGTCTAATTATCGTACCCCAAAGCCCCTCCCCCCTTAAACTAACATATCGAATCCAACGATCCCGCCACGAACATCTGCTTTTCCATCCAAAATCCCAGCGAATCAATCCCAAGCAAAAAGGCGCAACTAATGGGCATATGCAAGAAGCCGATCTCCCCTCCCACACCCCACTCGATCCCAAATGTTGCCTTCGTAATGTAATAGGATGACAAAAATGGCGGACGCGGTGAGGGGCGCACCGTGCTGCTCCTCTTCTGAGGGGACGGGCCAGCAGAAGCTTCTCGTCTAATGGGCTGGAGGTGGGCAGAGTTTACGGGGAAGGGGATGGGGGGGAGGGCGTGAAATTACGTTCTTTTTTCGGGTGAGGCCTCTAGCCGGCAGATCCGCACATAGGCCCCTTGAAACTGAGAGGACGGGGACCGGAAAGTCGCCAAGCTAATCCTAGAGGGGAGTAGATCCTGGAATTTTGGAGGTGGCTTAGGGGAAAGGGTAAAATTTGGGGTATTGTTTTATGAGGTATTTAAGGGGTCGTAAGGGTCCAGAGGTAACGAGTGGTCATTATGATGCTCCAAAGCTCGAGCATGAGGTTTTAGAGCCTATCAGGTTAAAGCGTAACTTCAGTACTGGTCCAGGTATTGGTCCGGATACACCTAAGAACGCATGCGCCTTTCTCACTAGCTCGCTCTCACTAGCTCTCTTTCTCTCTCTCTCTAGCTCTCTTTCTCTCTCTCTCACCCTCTTTCTCTCGCTAAACCAGTCTCTCTCGCTGCATCTCGCTCTGGCTTCACCTGTCTCTCAAGCTCGCACTCACTCTCTCTCCCTCTCGCTCTCTCTCTCTCTCTCTCTCTCTCTCTATTGCGTCCATAGGTGTCTACGTAGCGATCCAAATCTGAAAAACCAACCACAATCCCGCCCAAAACACCTCATAACTATCGATTTTGATAGTAAATAGTAGCAAAACGGAATATATTCTCTTGGTGAGAACCAATTCGATTTTGGGGAACCCGTCGAGACATAACATCCAATGTCTACGCCTGTGACGTCACGGACCGGAAAGGGGCGCAAAATGGAATGGGATGGCATGGTCAGTCCCCCCATAAAAATTTATCTAGTAATTTTTTATGTATATTAATAGGGGATTCTGTTTTCGGGAAGCAAAACACAAGAAAGTCTGGTTTTTACAATTTCAAAATACACAAAATTTATAAAATCTAATCTCAAAAATTAGGTAAATCTTAACTAAATTTTTTGAAGTAGCGTAAAGTTTCGTAGTTTGTTACTATATATTTCGCATCTCAACTCCTTTAAAAGAGTACTAACTTTAGCTAAATAAAAAAAATCCGTTTTTGAAAGAAGATTTCCGACGAAAAAGTCAATTTCAATTTTAATTTATGAGTGAACCAGCGCCCAAAACCCGCTTCGCGGGCCTTGGGCGCTGGAATTGGGCCTTTGCATGAAAAATTTGACTTTCCGATAGCTCGGGTCCTTCGGACCCCTTCCCCCACCGTCCACACACGCGCGGGCAAATTGCAAGAATGAGGAAATTTGTATTTTTTTCATATTATGCAAATTACCCCCAAAAATGAATAAAACCGGCTTTAACTTTGTAAACTTGTATTTTATCGAAATTCTGAAAACGTCATCGGAAAGAGGAGGGTCGATTCTCCCGAGTGACAAAAAATCAGCGCATTTTGGACACGGGAAGGCCCTCAAATCGGGCCTCGAAAGTGACATCCACACACACACACACAGAGATACACTCCAAAATTATATAAGGTAGGATGTAAAATTTCCTGCACCATTCGATTCAATATATTCAAATTTTTCCTCCTCGGCCCCTTTAAAAGGGCAAAATCCCAATATTCTTTAGAAAAATCGAGATGCCCATTTCCGGAAGCCCAAAAGAAGACAATTGTCACGCAATGTGTTTTACACAAACACCCGTTTTTACCACCCAACGAACCCGGAATTTAAGCTTCAAAATCTAGAAAATAACTATCTTTAAAACGCTTACCAACGCTATAAAACCCAAAATATACCCTACCACGCCGCCGCCGCCGTTCCACGCGTTTATAGGTGTGTCTCGTCGGGGCTGTGTGCCAACTGGTTGTGTTGGGGTCCCGCCACGAAATTTCGGGGGGGTGGGCCCACAATCTAATTGTTGTTGATGGGGGCTAAGTGGAGGTGGTATAGTTAGAGGAAAATTGGGATCAGCAAGAGAATGAGGAGCAAGAGGAGGAGGAGGAGGAGGAGCTGGGCCAACTTGGGCGCTGGTTTTGCCTCGACATATACATACATTTTCGGGGGGAGGGGGAAGGGCTTGAACATGTCCCCCGGGGGGTTTCAACAGACTAGAATAGGGATACCGGCTTGCTTTTCTTCTTCTAGGTCTTTTTCTTTTCCGCTTCTGGCAAAACAACGGGAACAGGGCGTTTTTTTGCGGCTTCACCCCCCTTTTCCAAGGCCCCCAAAAATACCCGCATATAGAGGTGATGGATTTGACCCTCAGGGTCTTGGGGCCCAAAACCACTTGAGTTGGTCAGTGGCATAAAATGCCCTTTCTTGGGGTGGGAGAGGGAGAGAGCGAGAGAGAGAGAGAGAGAGACGCGTGGGTGCGGCAAAACAAGTAAACAACAAAAGTTATGACGAAAAGGGAATGGGTAAAAAAGGTAGAGTATATTATAGGGGTCATGGACCGCTAAAGGAACTAGAAAGTCAGAAATCTATGGAGAAATCGCTTTTGACAGTTTCTTTAAAAGAACTACAAATCGTAGGAGCTAAAAGATGTTTTTAAATCTTTCTACAAGGAGGAAAACTGATTATTGAGGAATTTAAAAATTACAAACGCGGAATTTAGTAGCATTAAAGGAGCTAGGAAGTCAGGAATCTGTAAAAAATTCGAATATAGCCTATTTCTTGCCATTAGTGTGCCTTTAAAGGAACCGTCAAGGAATGGCTATGGATTGGCTACAAAAGTCCATAGACCGGAAAATCCATCGCTTTCTCCCCTGTAACTTTAAAAAAACATGGAATAATTTTAAATGTATTTACAAGGAAAGATTTAAAAAATCCTTGCTTCCTCGTCCCTTTAAACACCCAAAATCTGCCCAAGAAAACGAATTTTGGCCTTAATTTACGTTTTCAAGGACCCACCAGACACTAGGCTAAATTAAGAATTTTCTGCATATAAAGTCGCATACACAACAAAAACAGGCGCCTCAATTGCAGAAACTTTTTTGTTTACGGACACCAAAGCGCAAAAGGTCAGCCAGCTGCTGTTCCGGAAGAGGAGAAGCCAAAATCCCGGAAAACAACGGGGGGAGATTGGGGCTGAGTGAATTGAATTAAGGGTAAAGGGAGGGCCGGCACCTAGCCAGAAATCTTCTCAAAAAACGGTGGAAAGCCGTCGCTATGTATTTGGGCGATTAGTGATGCGGGGAGGAGGGGTGTTGGAAGGGAAGGAGATTCTAGAAGGAGTGAAGAAGGCAAGAGGCCTTAGCAAAAACGATAGAGAGAGAGAGCAGCGTGAAAGGAGCAAGAGGAGCGAGATTTCCGAGAAGATTTTGGCCGTTGAATGCTTCTCAGGAGGGTTGGGCCTAGGGGCCAAGTGGACGTTGGCATGTTGAAAAATTTAGATGTAGGGAAAGGACCTAGCGGGGGGGGTCCCGCCACGAAGGGGGAGGGCACTCATCCTCAAATTAGGTCTAATGGGTCGGTACGCTCGGTCGGAGCGGGAGCCCGGGCTTTCGATTTTCGTTCTCTAATTCCCGTTTTAACAAAAAAACGGGAGGTTCGAGTGGGTGGGCCTTGCACTAATGTTGATGGGGTGAATATTTGGGCGCTTCGGATGTGGGAGTTCAGGTTTCCATTTTGGAAAATAAAAGGGCGAGCTGGGGTGGTTTTGAGTTGGATATAAGGACATTCATATAGATTTTTATATCGTAATTAATCTGAACTATCTTTTTGCTTTGTAATCCTCCTAGAATTTTTTACTTTTTTTAATAGATATGATATATATAAAAATACCTTTCCTTAAAATGTGACCAAGTTTCTTAGCTATAAAAACTTTACGCAAATTTTTAAAAATTTTCGAAATTAACTTCGATAAAATTATATGGTAATTACACCCGTTTTAACATATTTTTATGCAATTTAAAAATAAGGGCCAATGCTTTTATAATAAACCTAAGCCGATTTTACAGAATAAAATTTTTCGATCGGATTTTCACATTTTTATATTTTTTTAGATTGGTTATACTAATAGAATATGTTTACTTCAATTTCCTTAAAACCTTTAGAAAATATCGAAATATTTTAATTAATTTAACGTAGTTTTTCAATTTTTAGAAACTTTTTAAAAATCAAAGATTACCGGTTTTCTTGGCGCTGCAGCAGGCTAGACTCATCGCTACAGCAACCGCCGTACAGAAAAGTTTTTCATATGCCGCTAAAGCCGAGGATATCCAGCTTCTAGAGACAAGACCCCCACCCCATCTCCCCCTCCCGCTCCTTTGGAACAACCAACAAACTAAGCCAATTTTTTGCCCCATCCACCCCTGCCTTCCCTTCTTTCTCCACCCCCACGAGTTCAACTTTTTTGCGCGAAGGTCCCACCACCTAATTTCTCGGCCCTTTCCTTGCCGAGGGGATACGGTAATTGGTCTTATTTGTGGGCCGGGCAGGGTTGGATCGTCGCGGAGCTGAGATGGATATTTTTATCGCGATAACGAGGCTATATACTAAGTTTTTTTGAGCATTGCTAAAGGTGGGAAATGTTGTAGATTTGTTGCTATAAATAAAAAGTGCAACGAATAGGATATTACCGTAATCAAATAACAAAAGTATGATTAAAATCGAGAACAACGACTTGCTGCTGAGGGCATTCATCTATAGCTATTTTTAGCTCGCTAATGAGACTAGGTACTCAGTTTTAAGTGGCTAGAGTTAGAAAATGCGCATATTTATTTCTATTTAGAAAAGTACGAAAAAATATGTTTTACAGTAATTCTAAACGAAAAAGTGACGAAAATGGAAGAAAAATTACTTGGCTCAGTTTCTGTACTTATTTTGTCACGATAACGAGGCGGTAATTTTAATTTTTAAGTTGGTATGCGTCGAAAATTGCCTATATTTGTTGCTATTTATGAAAATATAAAAATTTAAATTCTGCAATAATCCTACAGCAAAAAAGTCAAAACATTGTGGGGTGAACGACCTGTTTCGCGAAACTCTCAATTATATCCATTTTTTATCTCAGTCTCCAGGATATATTTTTGCTTTTTAAAAGTTAAAAAATTATAAATCGTTGTAAATTGGTTGCTATTTATCATAAAGTGCAAGTTAGCAAGTTCCACAGTAAGCCCACCACGCAAAAGCTGCCCAAAATCGACGATGAACGACTGGCTCCTCGGCATCCCGCCAATCGTCATTTTTTCTTCGTTCGAGAGTTTGGAGAGCATTTTTCAGATAGGAATCGGGGTTACGGTAGCTAATCAGAATCGATGGATGACTGAATTGTAGGGGGAGGAGGGACGGTGGGTGTGGTAGCGTGTGCACACCTCCAATTCGTAGCCAAGGGAGACGATGGTAGGGTATGCTAGACCATTAGTAATCTACATAATTGCCTTAATCCTCGGGGGGTACGGTGGGTTGGTAGGGCAGGTGGATTTAAGGGGTGTTCGAGAGGTTGTCGGCAATGTTTAGGTATGTAAATTAGGTTCATAATTGTCTTGATACCGCACTAGATGCGAAACTGAATCAAGGAAATTGGCAAGGTAATGCTATGGATCTTGGAATTTTGACGCGACGCGCAACGCAGACATTTCAGAATGCGCGTCGCGTGCCGTGTCGCGGTTGAATCCTGATATGACCGAAAGCATCTCTGACGGCCCTGACAAGGCATGGATTTCCTATGGATTTGGGCGCCCCAACACCGCTACACGCAACGCGCCCGTCCTTGCTTCCTGCTTACTACCTCGCGTTTTATATCGATCGAGATACTTGCCCCTCACGTGCCAAGATTGCAAAAAATCCACCGGAAGCTCCTGAGAATTGCCAAACCCGTTTTTGAAAATCTCCATATTTTTGTAGATAACATATTAATAAAAAACTAACTTTTTGAAAGCCGGCAGTCCATCCAGCAACAAATTTACGCTTCAACTCAGTCTTCCCCCAACCCAGAGCTCGGTGAAGTACAGGGTAGTTCCCCCCTGGGGATCGAGTTGCAATGGTAATTACACGGATTTCAGGTGCGTTGATTGGCTGACTGAGTAGTCTCGGGGCATATTGATTCGGATTGGCTCCAATTTCAGAGTCCCGACTCACAAAACGATTAACAGGATACGGGTGATCGCGTGACTAGTACGGAAAATTTAGGATTGCCGCTGATTATAAAAGTCTTTGAAACCACTTTGAATTGTTCACAAAGACATGAACTTTGCTATAGCATTCTTAATTACATTAACAATATGTTTATTAATTTAAATCTATACCATAAATATGCAAATTTTAATACCAACCATCTATCCCCTTCTGCTCCTCACAAGGCGTGATTGACGTCAAGTCGATGACGTTGAAATTGTTGTGAACGTCGCCTTTGAATCCCTAAACAAAATTCTTAAAATTAAGTATGCTAACAAAAAACTTACATTTTGCCCTGCATGCACTAATGTCTCAACGCTAGCGTGATGTTCTGGAGATGATAATTCGGAGAGAGTGGAAAGGCCGGAGAGGGTAGAAACATCTCGAGGTAATCTAAACAAACCGTGAGTTTTTACAGAGCGAGGGACAGAGAGAGAGAGAGAGAGAGAGAGAGAGAGAGAGCAAGGCAGAATTTGCATACCTGGTCGGACTTGCGCGACTACTCCCCTCCGTATCTGAAGAATCCGAAAACGGATCTACTTTCCGGCCGCTTGGATTTGAACGCCTAAAAATACTGTACCCTAAGTTTTCTTGATTTTACCTCTTTAATAACGGGCTTGTCGTCTCCTTTATATGAAGCTCTTTGCTGCTTTTTATCAAAAATGAATCCGTTGCCTAAAAATCAGCCTAAACATCAGGTAATCGATACCTTTAACAATTTGCTTTGTAACGCCGCCCGATTTGATTCCTCCTCTATCAATGGTAGCTCTGGCTTGGATATTTGAAAGGTTCTAAAAATCTGATTTGATCTCTAAATTTCTCACTTGTCTCTCGTTTCCTGCACTTCATTAAAGGTATTAGCCACATGGTATGGCGGTGGTTCTTCAGAGAAGTCGATGAGCTAAAAATTACCGTACTTTTTAACTTACAAAAACCATCACCTTTTCCCCAGGGCTTGCATGAACTGAATAATTCCATCCGGCGGGGACTACAGCGTGGACCGCATCGTAAGGTGGTGCTAAACGGAGCTATAAAAATGTAATTAAATACGTTACGTTCGAAACTGCCGTCTAATTCGACTGGAGGTGGTGCTTCTTTCGAGTCCAGTGGTAATTCTTGACCTTTTGCCAATCGATAGTAGCCACAGATAAAAACAGCAAGATCGGAGACTTCATCTTTATCGACGAGGAATTCGAGACCCTGAATAAATAACGATTTAAGTGGGTTTAAAGCTACTTTGCAGCAAAAATCAACCTAAAATCTTTTTATGTACCTGATTAGAATTATTGTGCAATTTTATCGATACGTTTGTCAACACCGGCGTTTCCGTTCGGATACTAACGGCGGCGAGGAGGTCGAAACCGACTAAAAAAAGCCCTAATTTTTAATTTTTCCATACCTGATATTGTCGGCTGCCCAGCTCTTGTACTCCCTGGATGCCGCATTAAAAGACCACCAACTGGATCGACCTAAAAATAATTAAATTGACGATTAAAACTGAATTAAATACCTGCACAATCATATCTGTATGCGAGTCCTTCAAAGTTACAGAAAAAGATCTGCCGACAAATGATGGTAGATGCGAAACGATTTGCACGTATTTCAACCGGGATAGTTGAGATCGTTCTTCTTGCGAGATCGGGGCTATAAAAACTTCAGTCATGCTGTAAACTACAGTACCAGAGTTTTTATCGGCATTTGGATCGTCGCGTCGTAGGTAATAACGTAGATGACGCCGCACTTCTTTCCGCTTGACGTTCTCGAGGAGGACGGTCGGGAGGAAGGTGACCAGGCCGAATTCCTTTCTGTAGCAGGGAAAAGATAAAATTGAGAGAAGGGTGGCTTACTCCACTTTGCGCAATGAGATTTTGCCCTCACGAAAACAGCATCCGGTGGATTGGCAGAGCTGTTGGATGTGGAGGGCGGCTAGACGGATGCACGCCTGAAAAACAAGGAAATTACATTAAATTGTACATATCTGGATGAAAGAATTTCTATGGGGTGAACGTTAGACACGACGTTGCGTGTGACGCGCCACGCGCCGTTACATGCGTTGCTACACGCCGCGACACGCGCTGCGACATGCGTCGCGACATGCCACGTCACACGTTCTGCGACACGCGACGTCACACGCGCTGCTGCACGTGACGTCACATGCGCTGCGGCACGCGAAGTCACACGCGCTGCGGCACGCGACGCTACAGGCGCTGCGGCCCGTGACGCAGGATGCTACGCAATGCGCGCTTCCAGACAGGACGCTACGCGCGGCTCGACGCGCGCTACTACACGCGATGTGAGACGTGACGTGACGAGCGCCGCCAGACGCGACACAATACTTTTTTTAGACACGAGGCGTTTGCGTTTGCATTGCGTGTCGCGGGATCATTCATCGGAAACCTTTAGCCATCTCTGCCTGCCTTAGTCCCCTAAAAAGCAACATACCTCATATCTCATCTCATACGCAAATCTTCCCTGCACCATATCGCTCACACATTGACTATAGTAATACCTAAAAATTTTTAGGATATCGGTTTTTCGTCTCTCCTCACTCAAATGCCTTCGGATCCCTCTGCAGCAACGCCGCACTATCGGCAGGCACAAATGCAAACCGGAAGACGCATCTTAGATGCGAGGCATTTGGCAACAGCGCGATCTGACATTCATTAATTTTATTAGTCAAATATATGGCACTCACCGACTCGAGCGTCGTCTCAGGTCGCAACATCGTAATTCGACTTGACCGCGCCCCAAGGTTATACTCCACGCAGAGGCAGAAGTGGTCCAAGGAGCCGAGGCAGAGCTTTTCTCCTAGAGACTCGCAGACGTCCTAAAAAGTGTAATAAAAGTCGGATACGGTAACTAGGATACCTTTACTGTTGTGGCTTCATCATAACGAAAAGATCGTGTTTGACCGTTTTCCAAAAATACCCTTAAAACGTTTGGCAACGGTGGAGGGAGACCCGTCTGAAAAAAAGCGATAAAAGTATACTCAAATAAATAGAAATATTTTTATTAGTATTTATCTTAAAAAGTATTTAAATTCTGCATTAAGTTACTACCAATAGTCATATATTTTGCTTACAGTATCTGGCGAAGAAATCTGGACACTATCTGTAAATCGTACACGGCATTGGCGTCGTGGGGATGGCTGAATTTTAGCATTTACATAATTACATTTAGTTATATTTTTACATTTGATGATATAATAAATTTTTATACTTTAGATTGTTCTATTATTGTTATTCCAAGACTTACCTTGCATTGCTGAACAGTCAATGTTATAGAATCTGAAGCGGCCCGGACCCGATTCACCACTTCGTCTTTTGGCTGTATAAAGTAGATAAATTTTTTAGCCCTAGAAACTGACCTCGTTGCTGACGTCGACGCCTTCTACTTCCAAAATTTCGTCTTGAGCATAGAGTTTACCATCTGAAGGGCCGCCTAAAAGTTTTTTGGATGGAAAAAATCGAAAAAACTTCTCTTGCCTGGGCTTACAAATTGGATGACCGTCGGATGCTGGCCAGCAGCTACAAAACCGAAGCCTTTAACCGGATCCCGGCGGACAGTAACCTGAAAATATACCTGAAATAAGCGACCCAATAAATGATTATATACCTTTCGAGCTTCAGCCAAGGCTTCCGGTCTTCTTGGGTCGAGGTAAGTGGTTCGGCGATGAATATGGCTAGAAAAAGGGTTTTATAGCAGTTGTCGAAGTTTATTTTGCCGAAATCTTATTTTTCGGCATTTCAATTTGCCGAAATGTCACTTTCTAGAAATATCACTTTGCCGAAAAGTCATTTTATAGAAATTTAACTTTGTCGAAATGTCTTCGGTCGATTTACCATCCCAGAGAGATAGTAAATTAAATTTCCGCGTACTCAAAAGCCGACAAAAGGATTTTTGACGAAATGAAAATAACCTTAGAAAAATGTGACACAAACACTAAAATACAAAACCAATTTCGGCATTCCAATTTCCACCAAAATGAAAATAACCCGATACACACTTATAAAAATTTAAAAACTTACTCAATATAATAAACATGTCCATCGGCATCAACGGCTTGTTCCCAGGCATACGGTAGCCCAAGTCTACAGTTCCACGCGGCCCACGGCGGCTCCCAGTGGGACGATCGAGTGGCGTGACTAAAAGAATTACTTTGAATAATTAAAAATTCGGTTCATTTACATAGCCCCCAGAATATCCTCCAATTTCCCGCCGCAGTAGACGACCTTCTTTACCATGAATATATTATATTAGTATATACTAGTAGCCGGGATTGTTCCTTCAAAAAGCCGGCCGGACCGGGCCGTTCATGGGTGTCGCGCGGAAAAATGGCACCATTGGATGGGTCCCGCCACACAAGGGAGGGGGTGAAAATTTATGGAAATGGGGAGAGGAAGATCGTGGGGTTGAATGGGTTTAAATAGAGGGTAGAATTTTTCGGAATATTGGTCTTTTGGAGGTTTATCGAGGTGGATGACGCTTTTAGAAGAATTCTGGAGGCTTCTGAAGTCTTCTTAGGTCTTTTGATGGCTTCAGAAAAATCCTGACGACTCCCGGGGAATTTTGAAGGCGTCTGGCAAATTCTATGTAGAATTTGAAATATGAATATTTGGAATATTAAGCGAGTAGAATATAGAAAATTAGGCTTCAAAAGTTTTCTCAAGGCTTCCGCCAAATTCTGAAGGCGTGTCAAGTCTTCTGATAAATTTTGGAGGCTTCTAAAGAACTCAAAAATTTTCCAGCCTTATGGAGGCTTTGAGGGAGCTTCTATTAAATTTTAACGACTTCAGAAGGTTCAGAATACTTCTGAAGAATTCCGCGGCTTCCGAAGACTCCAGGGGTGTTTCTACCCCACCTCGTTTTCCGCAATTAGATCCCGGTCGTTTAGCCAACAACACGAAAAAGATCCCCAGCCGTGGAGGCACCACCGACAATTCCGAAAAGCCCCGCTCCGGAAGCGACGAATCGAGTTTGCAACGAGGTCGGCCTGGTATGGCCCCATGGGGGATTCTCTAGAGGGAACACCACCTAATAGCCCGCAGAGGGGCCAACGACAAAAGAATTTTTTCTGGCTTTTTCTTGCCAAATTTTCCTCTATATCACGCCCCATCCCATGGGGGGTAATGACCCCATTTCATGCAAAATTGAAGGCGTCGTTTTCGGATTATTCTTATTTTATGCCTTAGAAAAGGTTAATTAAAGCTGAGGAAAAGCTTACTGGATGTAGAAGAGGCGTAGATCATCGAGCACGCAAAGATCACAGGTGGTTAGGACGTCGTGAGAACGTTGATGGTAGTCCGTACTAAAAAAGGTAGATAGTTTTATTAAAGACGAAATTGAATTTAAAGGATATAAAACAACTAAAAATACTATATAAACTACAAAATAATATATACTACTATGATATTTTTACAAACCCAAATATTAATTTAAACAAATTAGTATAAATATCAATATTAAACCTTAGTTTTAATGATTTATATAAATTTTTCAGACTAAACCTTATTGACTGAGACCACTGTAAAAATCGATTTAAAAATACACAGTTAAAATAGCTACAATGGCATAAATCGCCATCAAATTTATACAAACTGATAAAAGTCAGGTTTCGCAATAGAGAAAATTAAGTCTATGAAATTACAAATCTATACAAATCAGAACCCACACCAAATCCGGCCCGCCATTCTCAAAATTAGCCTTGGAAGTGCTGGGAAACTAAAAAAACGTTGAATTTTAGGCTTTAAATTTACAACTTACATCCATCGGCTGTTGCTCCTCTACTCTCACATCTTCAGCATCTGCCTCGGCCGGAAACTGCTTTAATAAAACTCTAATTTTCCTTCAAATCGATGCACTAATAGCATTTGAATTTTGGAGTAGACATTCAATTTGGAAAAAATTGGGTGACGCCGCTTCAGGCGATTTAGAGTTTGTAGGCGATGTTTGGCAGAAGCCGGGTGTTGAGGGGGGAGGTGGAGAAGGGCCGGATGGCCAGAAAAGAGAAAGGAGGGCGATGGCAAGAATTCATTGGAGACTGACAGGGGGAGAGAGAGCACCAGAGAGAAAGAGAGGGCCAAGAGCCGGGTGGGACATTCTGGAGAGAGCATGAGAAGGGCCCAAAAAGGAGCGTCTCCTAGATATATATCTGAACACCTTCGGCCGGCCAGACGCTTATGGAGAAGAAGCTTGGCTGGGCTGCAACATCCGACACTTTTGGGGAGGTTGAGAGGGGGTTAAAAGGTTGAGACGGGGAGGAGGAGGTCGGAAGTTAATGGGGAGGAAGAGGAGGAGGAAGAGGAGGACAGGGAGGGTCTCACGATTTCTGAGCAGAAGCTTCCTGGGATAAATTGGAGGAGCAGATGGGAGGGAAGTCAAGCGGATTCTTTGCGTTTAAAGGGGTTGGCAAGGCGCAAAAAAATTTGTAACGAACTTTGAAATTTTTAAAGGGGTTAGAAAGTCACTTTTGAGTGGAACAAAATTTTTTCTGATTGCCAAAATTCTAAAATCGACGCATTTCCACCTTCTAAATTGCTATAAATCCAGAGATTCAAATAAAAATCTAAACGATGATATCGGTGAACTTAAAACCAAAATAAATCTTAAAAAAATTAAAAGTTAATTTTTGGGTGTTTCAGTGCTCATTAATGCGCCGATATGCGAAATTCCAGGCCCAAATAGGTTTCAAAATTTATTTAAGGTTTTTGACTTGTTTGGCTTGTTTGTTTTACATTTCAGAACATTAATGTATTATTAATTTAGATTATCATTAATGTATGTATTACGTTTTAGATATATAACAAATATAAGCTATATAAATAAACAAAATAATAATAATGATGATAACAAATTTTTAGCGAATAAATCTATGAAGTAACTTGACCCAACAATATATTAAAAATTCCTGCAAAAGCACATATAAATCGACAAGGCCATAACCAGGCAAAATCCAAGAATGGAAACCCAGTCATACTTTTTTCCCTATTCCCCAAGAAATTTAATGAAAATCACGTCCCCGGTCAAACGCATTTAGCCCCCTAAAACCCCGAAAGCCAAATCCCCCAACGAATCTCATTTGACCCCCCCCCCCCCCCCCCCCTTTTCGGGGTGGCTGAAATGGATTGGATACTGGCGCCTGGATTCGCTCTAGAAAACCAGGGGTGAATCCTTAAAAAGTAGGAAAAAGCAAAAAGAGAGCACGAAATGACACGCCATCACCTCTCTCTCGCTCTCTCTCTCTCTTCTCTCTCTCTCTCTCTCTTTTGCTATAAATGGTGTTGCTCTTTGAATATTATTTGAAGACCCTGGAAGGGGGATACTGCTATTGCAAAGTGCAACAAAAAAGGGGGTGGAAATGAGAGGGGGAGTAGAAGAAATGGAGGAGCAGGAGGAGAGGTGTATAATTATTGGGTCCACCCACTCAAGGAAGAGAGAAGGGATAGGGGAGAGACCTCCTGAAGCTGGGTGGATGAGAAGATTTTTGGTTTGGGGGTAGTGGCCCAGAAGTTGGAATTACCGGGTTTATTGGGGTTGAAGTAAATTGAAAGTAGCGACCAGGGGGTGATTTTGATTTGGGAATTGGTTCGTTCTGGGAGTTCGGAGCAAAAAGTGAAATTTGAAAGGGGTTTGGACGTCTGAAGAATATAGAAGAGAATTGGCTCTTTGTCAGATGATGATAGTGTGGTCAACGTGACTTGTGAGTACCTTTAGCGCTTGATTTCAGATAAAAACTGAATAAGCTATTTGGTCTCAGCCTTGAAAGTTTCTTTAAAATCATTTTACTTAGGGATTTAAAAGCAAGGAGTCCTGAGAAATAGAGTTCTAGAGAGTGAGAGAGGTGACTAATCGAGTGAGAGCGAGAGAGAGAGAGAGAGAGAGAGAGAGAGAGAGAGAGAGAGAGAGAGAGAAAGCGAGAGAGATAAAGTAGTGAGAGAGTGAAAGAGAGCGAGAGGGTGAGAGCACGCAAGAGAGTGCAACAGAAAAAGAGGAATGTACGAGAATAATCAGAGCGTAATTCCTTCACATTCCATATGCCTGAAAAATTACAAGGAAGTCGAAAATAACCTAAATTGGTATGAAATTCAAACTACAATGATTTTACGTTTTATCAAGGTGTTAATTTAAGGGACCGTGGCCCCGAAAAATCGAAAAATGCCGATTTCGCACCAAAAAACCAATTCGAAATCCCAAAAACCGCCAATTTCGTAGCGCAGAAGTCGTGAAGGGGTGAAACTGTGATGGGCCCTGCCATAGAAAAAAGAGGCCCCTTGGCGACGACCCGGCCGAGCCAAGGACAAACGCGGGCAATTTCGAGCAAATTGAGGCATTTCGACGGCCAAACCCCCCATGGCCACAGCCCCCCCCCCCCCCACCAAAGAGAACGAGGATCTATAGATGAGAGAAGGAGGACGAGTGGGGTGAGGAGGAGGAGGAGTACCAGTTGTGTGGACACAACGGCTGTTCAATCCACATCCTTCAAGCTAGAGGGCACTAATGAGCCGGAAGCCAACCGAAAAGCCTGCCAAAGCTACGAGCTCTTCCTTCCTTTTTAGTCATCCCCGAATCTACACGAGTCTATTCAAAGCGAGTAGGAGCATCATCCGTTCTGAGCACGGCTTTTCAGGCCGGGTCCCCGAAAACCCGGAAAATAGGCAGTGGGCGCGACGCCGACAAGTTATTTTTGGGATCCAAAGCCTGAAGTTCCAAGAAAAAAGCTTAACTTGGAGCTGGAATACAGCTTATCGGGGAGATTTTCATTAATTTCTTGAAAATGAAATTTTAAAAATAGGGGAACCTGTAATTTTGAAGAAAATGGGTTCTTATGTATCATCGGGGGGGATGGGCTAATTTTTGGTGGAAAATCGATAGTTGCGTCATTTTTCATAAAAATTTGGGATGTCATTACGTTTCGGGGTAGTCAAATCAGTTTGTAAAAAACTTTAAAAAATGAAAAAGATTGTAAAACTGGATCTTAGCAAAATAGCCGCATCCCCACGATAATGCAAAAGTACCAGAAAACGACGAACTAATAAACGTATATTCTAAAAAATGCCAACATCTGCAATTCTAAGAACCCGTCCACGACTCTAACAAGTTATTTTGGGCCTCGAAAGCTTGGAGCCCGGATGAAAGGCCTGAATGAAGCTGCAGGGCGTAGAGCAAACATTATCAACTCTAGGGGGGGGATGGCAATAAAATTCTTGGAGTATAGGAGGAGCGGAAGGAAGGGTAGATGAGGATGGGAAAGGGCGATGTTATTTGGGTTTGATGTTCTTTGCTCGCATCCCAGGCCTCTAGTCGTTCTAGAAAAACAAATTCGGGGTTTAAAGGCGGAGTGACAGGGGTTAATTTGCATCTAGGAGGTTTTGAGTGGGCAACCGAAATCCCACGTTTCACGCGGAATTGGAAGCGGAAACGGAGCAAATGGAAAAATAATTTTGTATTTATCTCTTAATTAGTCTAAAATGCAATAAGAGGAAGTTATGTAATGCTCGCTAAATGCTAAACTACACGTTTGGAGCACAGAAATATCACCTGCCACCTGAAGAAGCAAGACTCAGTAATATTCATGTAAAAAGTTAGAAATTTGCCGTCATCTGGAGCGTAACGTAAGGCAGAGAGAAGACAAAGAGACGGAGAGGGAAAGAGAGAGAGAGAGAGAGAGAGAGAGAGAGAGAGAGAGAGAGTTAGAGAGAGCGAGAGAGAGGGAGACCGAGAGAGCGAGAGTGAGAGAGGAAGCGAGGGAGAAGGAGAGTGAGAGCGTGATTGAAATCGACAGTAGATGTCGCGAACCAAGCAAAAAACCTCTAAATTGTGCCGTCATTTGGAGCGTAACGTGGTGTTCCGCCAACTATAGAGAGAAAGCGAAATGAGTGAGAGAGTGATAGAATGAAATATAGCAATAGAAATTCCTGGTAAATTTGTCATTACTTGATCAAACTACTAAAATTCGCCAAAAAATTGAAGTCTTTCCTAGTGGAACCCGAAAATATACAGCTTCTAACGCACTAATTCCGGCGCAGCAAAAGCGAAGAAGTATCCACTAGGGAGGCTCTTCAGAATGTCCGAAAAGACGATTGACGGCCCTATAGAATAGAGCGGCTTCTTACCGCTTTTTTGTGGTGGGATAAGGGCTCCCCGGGGGTCTCTCGCAACTCGCACATTTCATCCCATGACCCCTCCTTTCTATGGACGAACGAACAGCTTGCCCGTCGCTCAAAAAAGCATAGAGAAGAGGGGGAAGGGTATTCGATGGACTTCACAGGCGTTTAATTCCGGAATTCCGGGATGATACGCAAAGATCATGGGAACGGGGTGAAAGGTTATAGCATTTAGGAATTGGGACAACAAAATTATGAGAGAGAGAGAGGGAGAAGGGGAGAGAGAGAGAAAAACTAGCTAGAGAGCACATTTTGGCACAAAAGAGCATCGGAATTTTCGAAGCTATTGCGCTTATGATCTATTTTGAAGTTCCGTCTGTTTAGAGACTTCTCGTGACGCCTACCTGTCGGCATCCCTTCCAAAACTAAAAAACCAAAATGATGCCTTCCGCTACAATGCAATTCACAGCTTCTTGAAAAAAATTGCAGAATTTCCTAAAGAAATTCTGCTAGCTCACGCCAGTCCTATTTAGCCCTCAATAAATTATTGACGGTCTCCCTGACTCTATCTTTCTCTCTCGCACCCACTCGCTCTCTCTCTCTCTCGCACTCACTCTCTCTCTCTCCTCTTATCAGCCTCTTCTACATCTCCTTTTCTCTCTGTTACTCACTGACTAGCTTTCGTTTTCCCTCTACCTCTAGATCTCGTATTCTCGTACTCTGGTTTTGGCGATCTCTCTGGTCTCTTTCTTTCGCTGTCGCGATGACTGCTCTTTTTTGTAACATTTTTTCCAGCACTCTTTACCCTTCGGGGTCAACATCTCCAAATCACGATCCCGAAATCCCATCCCCTTCCGGCTACACCGTAATCAGGTGAAATTCTCCTAAACGAGCCACTGACAGCTCCTCGACTGATTATGCGGTATTGTTGTTGTGCATAGGGTTTAGGCACTAGTGTAGAGACCTCCTAACAAGCTGGTGGGAAAGAGATAGAGAGAAAAAGAGAGAGAGAGAGAGAGAAAGCGAGAGAGAAAGAGACAGTGAGTAGAGCTGGGCCCTAAGGGGGAGGGTGCAGAGGGATCAATAGGGCCCAGCTGGCCCTTTTGCCCATATTCAGCAGCAGCAGCAGCCGTCGTTCCCTTGCCAGTTCACCCACGCAGTTTGGACTAGGGCTACAATTCTCCGGGGTTTTGACCAGCGGGAGGTTTCTATTGAGGGATTAGGGTGGTTTTTAATCTGCAGGATAAGTTCGTGTGTTTGGAGGGGGGAAAAAGAGGGGATGTCCCGCCCCTCCAATCCATTGACGAGTTAACGAGCCGTTTAAATGGAATCGACTCATTTGTCTTCGGGGTTATGGACAGCGTTTTATGGGTTTTGCGCCTAGGAGGATAGGGTTTGAGTTTTGCTGTCATTTTTTGTAATATGATAATATGATTAAGCTACGCTAAATATGCTAAATTTTCGGAATTTCGTAGTTTTTCTTTTGGTTTTATGGTTAAATGCAAAAAACTGTGCTGAATTTTGTTAAGATCATTGTAAAAATTACAGTCGCTTTTTTTCTCGAATTGGAATTATTATTTACTTATGTTTTTCTACGTTTCTTAAGTTTCATACACTCATTTTCTTGCTTTTAATAGATTTACACTTTAGTAATTATGCTGCAAAACCCAAAAATGCCAATTTTTGCGTTAATTTTTGTGGATTCAGGATTTGTCTGTAAGCCTTATTTTTCATAATGTTGATTTTATAAAGTTTTCTTGAGCTTGAATTAACTGGAATTAAAATTTCAGATTAATGGTCTATTTTTAGCAGCACCCCAAGTTTATTTTAACGTTCCAGAGCACAAAAACTTCACCTGTACTTTCAAAAATAGCCGAAATCGTACTGTATCTCGTCAGGACCTGGAATTTTCACCTGTCTTTCAAGCCACTTGAGGCCAAGGTATTTTTAGATCCTTACCCTCCCCCATGATCCTGTGCTGTCTGGTAGCTGATCAGGTTGCCCTTGCTGCACACTCTCTCGCTCTCTCCCCCCCCTCTCTCTCTCTCTCTCTCTCTCTCTCTTTCTCTCTCTCTCTGCCTCGCTTTGTGTTGCTTTTGTGTTTGTGGAGTGATAGAGACATCTGATGAGCAAACAAATCTGATGAGGGTCCGCTCAAACATCGTCTCCGCTTTCGCTATCCTCATTTCTTTCGCATCATCCGCTTGATATCAAAAATTCCGGATATCCGCTTCTGGGTCATTAGGGAATTCTTATTCCTCAGCTTGCAGGGCAGGGCAAAATTTTGGGTCTCACGCTCCATCAAACCACGTCGTTATTTATAGCTCGTGCTCTTTCTCTCGCTCTCTCAATCTCTCACTCACACCAAACTTACTTTTCACTATCCCTTGCTCCCTAGCGCCGTCTCAAACTGAAGCTGGTGCTCAGAAACTCTCTCTTTCGTCCGCTCTGATTCTCACCCTCTTGCTCACAAGCTTCCTTTTTAACTATCTCTTGCTCCCTAAACAGCGTCGCTAATTGAATCTTGTGCTCTCTTTCTCCCTCTCCCTCTCTCTCTCTCTCTCTCTCTCTCTCTCTCTCTCTCTCTCTCTTGCCCTCTCTCTCGCCACCATTAATGCCTCCATTTTTAGATGGGCAATACGCAACCCCGGAAACGTAAAGCCGTGGAAGAAGAAGTGAGTCAAGTTTTCCCAATTTTTCCTTAACAATAATGCAGTGTTAATCCTGGATTCTTCTCCAATCCTCCTTTTCTAAAGTGCTCCCCCCTTCTAAAACAATCCGGATTAATTTTTCCCGCAAAATCATAGGGATACGGTACCCGAGGTCACGACCATAAATTCCCGCTCGTGCTCATTGCCAATTTCCGCTAACATATTTGAATGCTCAGGGGATATTCTGTGGAAATTGAGATAAGCGCTGAACTTTGGATTGTAGCGTAGGGATCCTGACGCACGAGAAACGAGATCGGGTTTGCGTAAATACAGGGATAATTGCTGGGTCCGGGATGCTACTAATTACAGCTTATACAGAGGAAAATTATGGTTTTGCGGAATTCTAAAAATAGCTTTTGATTTTTGATTTAATGTATGATAAATTGTCAGCATTTTAGAGGGTATTGTAGTTTGTAAATTTGAATAAAAATTTGAACAAACTTAATAAAAAGTGATGGTTAGGGTATCTTTATAAATAATCCGAAATTTTATACCGACGATAAACGTTAAAATACATAACGTAACGTGGCGTAAGGCGCTTTCTAAAGCGACTAAAGCCTACCATAATATCCAAAAAAGTTAAAAAACAAATAAATATGGTAGAATAAAATATTAATAGCATACATTTCACTAATGCGTCAAATTTTATACTAATATAAATTTAACCAGCCAAGTTTTTACCGGCTGCAACCTCAAAAAAATATAATCAACATTCCGCTCCGGTTTTTACCCACTAACACAGGTCCAACCTCCCGGCCCCGCACCGAAAAAGCGGAAATTCGAAGAAGGCGACGACGTGGTAGATGAATACCGTGCGGCCATCGAGAATGGATCGATGGAACTCGTACTTGAGTGGGAATCGAGGCCCTCGACGGTCAGTCCACCGTTGTAGTAAAAACCTTTGGCAAACACGCCCGCTGTCCTCGGCGCTCTAATCATTCTAACACACCTGGTTGTCTCATTTTCTAAAGAATCTGGTTTTTTTCTGCATGGAGATAAAAGTTTGTTTTGGGTTATACCAATTTAATAGAAGTATATGGATGCTAAGCTAAGCCTAAGCCTATGCGAAGCCTAGCCTAAGCGAAGCCTAATCGAAGCCTAAGCCTAAGCCTACATGCGGCTTCTACACTCCTTTAAAATATCAGCTTATGTATGCTTCAACTGAGGCTTAGGTTAGGCTTAGGCTTAGGCCTAGGTATTACAGTGCACATTAAAAATTAAGAAAATACCTTAAAAATTGTTTTTAGAGCTCCGATCCACCTCGTAAACGCCTCCGTCTCTCCAACCAATTGAGCAAACTCTTCAGCTTTTCTTCAAGTAAAATTAATGGAGAATCGAGCCAAGGTAAGTTCATAAATATTTTATTATTTTCCCCGGCTTCCGCTTGCTCTAACGTGTCGTCCAGTTTTGCCGATTTGCTACTAATAACGGAGAACAAACTCTAATAGGATTTAGACTGTTCCGTCGACGGGGGCAGCCACCCGCTGAGAAGCAGTGAGTACGACTCCCCAGGTTTGATCTATATTTCGAAAATACAAAATTTTTTTTTAGCTTCTTCCTCCTCCTCTAATTGGCCAGTTCCATGGCTAGAATCACTATTTTTACCTGAATTTCCGAATCGGAATACGATAACTGAAAATAATTTTTATGTAAGTTAAAATCTTTTTAAAACTAATTTAAATTTAGAAAAACCTAGAAATTGGTAGAGGTGCTTTTGGGAAGGTTTTTCGTGTTGTTTCTAAAAAGGACACCAGAGGTATCTACGCATTAAAGGTAGGAATAGCCACGAATTTTTAGCCATATCATCTAGATTATGGACAAAACTCAAATATTGGCAAAGAAAGCGATAGATGCCGTTAAACGAGAAGTTAAAATACAGGTAAAATAATCTTCAAATGAATTTAAATTGGGTTTAGAAAATATTGGGTGCTTACACCTTCACTGCCCGTCTTTTTTCGTGCTGGCAAAGTCGCGATTTGTTGTTTTGCCTCCAGCAAATTGCCGACGGGCATAGGGGCGATCTATTTAAAGGTATATTAGACGTTTTTAAGGTTTTAAAGTGTTGTTTTGTATTTTTAAATATATTTCAATAGCGTGTTTTGTATACAGTATTTCTTTAAAGTTACAAGCATAAAAAGTCAACTTTAGTTTGGCGAGACTTTGGTCCATTCCCCGAAGAAACTGTCCGGCTCTTTGCGGCCGAATTTGCATGTGCTTTAGGTATAAAAATTACTGGCAATTTGAAAACACCAACAATTCTAGATTATATGCATCGTAAAAATATTATATATCGTGATTTAAAGCTCGAAAATGTTGTTACGGATGCGGATGGCCATATTTTAATTGGTAGGTTTCTCGTAAAAAATACAACCCTTTTTAGTCGATTTTGGCCTGGCCAAAGAGTTGAAGCCGGGCGCTAAAACGCGGACAATATGCGGGACTTTACAAGTATGGTTTTTTAAGGTTTAAATAAAATCATAAATTACAGTATATGGCCCCAGAAGTGTGTTCGGGTGTGGAGTACGGTCATTGGGTCGATTGGTGGTCGATGGCTGTTCTCTTACATATTTTATTCACCAATCGATATCCATATCCAAATGCCGACGTTGCTCACCATTCTGATTTAGCGTATGTTGCAAATAATAATCGAAAAGGCTATTTTTTTAGTTTTGTTGATTATTCCACGCCTCCTTCGGCGACAAGATATTTGGGGAATTTTTTGGATCGCGTAAGAACTATTAAAATTAATTATTAAAATTGGTTTCATTATAAAATTTAATTTTTTAGCTTCTCTGTGTGACTCCTCAAAACCGGATGTGCTATTTTGAAGTGATCCACGCCCACGAGTTTTTCCAGGGCATGGATTTTCAAGCTGTTGAGCAGCGTAGGGTACGCATTAATAGAACCTATATTAAGGTACTGGACGGTTAGCGGGGGTGGGGTTCAAAGCTCCAAACATGCATAAAATTAGCGAAAAATCGAGTTTTTCGAATTTCAAAATTTTCAATCATATTTTTGTAACTTTCTAAGATTCAAAATTTCCTAAAAATATTCTAAAAATAATCGATTTATTCATAACCTTACAAAATTTATAATAGGCCTAAAAAATTATTTTCCATCGGCGGACCCACCCCCCTAATCCAGTACCCTTTTTATTTTAAGGAAGATAAATCTATTATTAAAATATCGCTTTTTTAGTATCCACCCCTCGCTTGCCTCGCAGCTTCTCGTTCCGTAATTGGCGATCGTGAAAGTGAAAGTTCCGAGGCAGATCACGGGTTCGAGCGGATGTTTGATGAGGAATATCAAGTATACTAGCTCTTCTTACTGTAGAATTTCCAATTTTTAGGATTTTGATTACATAAATGATGCAATGCATCCGGGTGACTGCCACCCGGGCCAGCAAATGTTTTAATAGATCTAAATTGTCGTGTACAACGGGTGTATATACATAAATTGTGATTTCGAAATGATGAAAATATATATCTGATAAATTTTATTAAGGCTAATATGACACTGATATGTACAAAAAGGAACACAGTAAAGCGTGAAAGTTAATCGTAATCGTCGGGGATGTTGAGGAAATTGCCGAGGGATGGGAAATGGGCCACGGAGTAGCCGTCGGAACCTCCGGTACCTGCTGCAGGGACGGCCCAATGGGCACCCCAGGCCAGCTAAAAATGGTAATAATATAAATTAGCAATAAAAATATACAACAATTTTTATTTCCTTGCCTGGGCTCCTTTTTAATTCTTATTCTCCTTTTTCGAACGAGATGTAAGAGCGGACGTGGAGAGTCGCGAAACGGAAGAATCTTTCTATCTCTCCCTGTCTCGCTCTCTCTCTCCCTCTCTCGCTCTCTCTCTCTCTCTCTCTCTCTCTCTCTCTCTCTCTTTCTCTCACTCTTTCTTTCTCTTACTGGCTCTTTCTCACTATCTCACGCTCTTGGTCTTGGTCAACAATTTTCTCTGCCTTAAATTTTGCCGCACTCGCTCTCTCTCTCCCGCTCTCTCTCTCTCTATCTATCTCTCTCTTCCTCTATCTCTCTTTCTCTCTCTCGCTCTCTCTCGCTCTCTCACTAGCACCGGCACGAGGAGCACTATTCCTTACCTGTCCATTCAACCAATCAGCCGTCACCGAATCGGGATGATACCAAAACTTATTGGCGTGATCACGATTGTGAGGATCATCAGGATTCGGCTCCCAGAGACCTAAAGTCTTTTAAAGACAACGTGACATCTCCCCCACCTGGCTTCGACCACGGACTCCTTGTCTTTGGCCTATGCGCAATTCCCCTAGCATCAGTCAGTGCGTCAAATTCTTTGAAGCTGTCCCCGGCTGCGGTCGCCGAATCGGATGGGATAATGGGGATTGAGCCCTGGCTGGCCCTGGATAGAAAGATGATACTGTAGTTTTGAAAAAACCTACTTTGCACGGCCCGTTGAGCGGATGGGGGGAGGGGCGATTAGTGCTTCAGAAAAATCTCCGTAGTTGCTCGGCTTTCGTTTGCGGAGTGGTTCTCTAAAGGGATGTTTTTCGGTTTTTGTCTTCTCTCGCTCTCTCTCTCTCTCTCTCTCTCTCTCATCTTTACGTACTCATCACGTTGAACTTCCGCTTTAAATCGTGATCGAGTTGCTTCTCTAAAAAAAATCAAACTAACGGCATTTTACTTAAAATTCCTACTCTTCTGTAGTTGGTCGCGTTTTTCTAGAAGAATTCGAAGCCTGACGATTCGACTCCGGCCTGAATCACTTAGCTTTTAACGGTACGGTAATACCTACTGAGTTTCTACAGCATCCCCTCCAAATTCTTTCATTTCACGCTGTAATTTTTGACGGTAGGTGTTGTGGAGGACTCTAAAAAATATCTTCTATTTTTTAACGGAAGAATGGTACTTTCTAAAAGCGTCCATGCTGCTACCACTTGATGGACTTGATGGAGCAGCAGCTTCATGGGTTACTGTTGCCCTAGCGTTTTGTGCTTCCTGAAAAATTACATCAAAATAGAAATGAGTTTTCATACCTTTTCTGAATTTTCAATCGCTTCTGCCAGCAAAGAGCGTCGGCCACTAAAAATTAATATGAAGAAAATCAGATAAAGATAAAATTACTGTTTATGGGTTACGGTAGGTGTTGGAGGCTCATCGTGAAAACGTTCTTCGGGCTCTGGAGCCTAAATATTAAGGATTATCGAGAACTTAAGATATCTTTACATTAACTTACATATCGACTCGGTGTCTGCCTAGAAGTAAAGGCTCGTGCTCGCCGCAGGGGATTTCCAGCGCCATCCAGCGTCAGTTTTGGGTTCGGGACAACGTTGGGATTTGTGACAACGCCAGCTTAAAAAAAAAAAACACGTAATGTTATAGATTCTGTACTTATATAATGTAATTTTATAGTATTTTAAAGTTCAAAAGATTAAAGCGTAAACCTTATAACCTAAATAGGTTTAAAAATTAATTTAACGGCTTGACTTACGCAGCACTTTTCCTTTTTCTGCCTTCGAAAATACGTATTGTGACGCATAATGGTATCCCTCATATTTCGGGCATTTATTGTACCACATTCTGAAAGTAAACTTGGTTCTTTAGCATTATCGGGGGGGGGGGGGGGGGGGGGGAAATCTTCTTTTCTTTTTTTCTTTAGCTCAAGGGGAAATCCAATTTTTCTTATATTAGCGTGTGTGTTTCTAGCCTTTTTTCTATTCCTTAACGCCAGAATCTTACAAATTTTTATTAAAAATATAAAAATATGATTTTTCGGCGATGACACCGACTTTTGACCAAATATCACCTATAAACTTCCCACTTTTTAACTGTTTTTGCGCTTGAAATATAGTTAAATTTTACTAAAATACTATCAAAACACAGCTATTACGTTACTAAGCATTTCTGAACTTATAGAAAACATTGCCCCCCGATAACCCAAAAGATCCGCAAGTTTGTCCCCCCGATAACGCGAAAGATCCGGAAGATCCGTAAGTTTTGAAGTCGCAAATAAATTCGATAAATTCGATTACCGGCAGGTTTGTAGGAAAAGTGGCATTGGGGGCGGGTTGCAGAATTTTTGGACTTGGGGGTAGATGTAGTCGCATTTGCATTCCTCCGTGCAATGGGCATAGATTTTTATATCGCATTCTGGCGTGCAGGGTACACGTCGCTAAAAAAACTTTAAAACATAAAAAATCGACCTACTTTCATATATAATTTAATCCGTTCGTGCTTTGTAAGTTCTGGGGTAGGGTCATCGGCCGTTGCTTCGTGTTTTGGGGTTCTAAATACCGTATACCTCTTAAAATTGAACCTTACTTATTAATAACAATTTCCTTGCTAAACGGATTAGCCGGCCATGTGTTGAAATTTCCACCTCTAAAAATTTATATTAATTAATTATAACCTTAACTATACCCGACAGCCTTTTCCGGGCAATTCTTCTTGAAGGACGGGCAGAATTTTTCCAATACCTAATCGAGTAACATCATTTTTATGTAGAATTAAGTTACCTCAGCCCCCTCCGGAGTCCTATCCACATCCCCGACACAATAAAACGAATAATGCTGCTCGAAACGGCTACAGTAATCGTTTTTCCCGCCCCGGAAGACGGTCACAATCTCGGGCTCGTCGCTGGAAACTAGAGAAAAACTAGACTTCGGTTTTAATGTCGTAATTACCTGCCGGGTCGGAGTCACGAGCTGCACCTTCATCAAAATGGACAACGCCACGATGGGCTGGTTCCCGTGCAGCTGGTGAGAAATCCTGACAAATTTGAAAATTCAGGAGCATGCAAATTACGATACCGGTTCTTTTGCATTATCGGGGGAGGAGGCTGATTTTTTCAAATCTAGAAACGCCTAGCAACATAAAAATAGGTGTTTTAATAGCGTTTCTAGCGAAAATAATTCTATTTAAAGTGGAAATACATAGAAAAATGTAAAATTAGTGACAATTTCATGGAAAATGGTATTTTGTGTTTTTGACAAAAATCTGTAATGTTTTTAAGTCTGGGAATAGTGGAAAACAGTTTAGAAAAAATTCCTTTATGATATTACAAAACTGGATCCTAAGAAACTGCCCCCCCGATAATGCAAAAGCTCTAAAAATTTCGCATCGAGAAAAAATAAGGTACCGGTAGCTCAGCCGGCTCGCTAGTGGCTGAAGAGTCTTTGCTGAATTCAGAATCCAAAGCTGAAGTCAATGGTTTGAACGGGGTGACTTCATGCTCCTCCGCAGGTTCAAACTTCAAAACTTCTGGGACGACAGGAACTTTTTCTTTGGCGGCCGCTGCCGGTGCCTCGATTTTTGTAGTGTCGGTGGCTGGGGATTCTTCTGGGATAAACTACAAAAGAATTTAGATAACAATTAAAAATGAATTAATACCCCACTGCGGAATCGATCTTCTTCCAAATCATCCTCTTCTTCCTCGTCCGCGTCAGCAAAGGGGTTTCGTTTAAGTCTACCAGCACCGGCTCTAAAATCAACAATGATAATAATCCTTCAAATATGTAAATTACGCTCTGGCAATGGTGTTAATTTTCCGTTCAATGCCTCTGGTCAATCTAGTGACATCTGGGATAAATTCTAAAAGTCAGGGAATATATAGAATTACAGTAGGAAAATCCTACGTGCAGATACGGTAGACGCAAAAATTAAGAAGATGAATAGGAGGGCATTTCTGGACATTAAGCCCTGATTTCAGCGATAGGCGACAAACTCCAGAATTTTCTAAAAATGGATTTTTTTTGTTACAGTAAGAACAAGAATACGGTAGAAAAGTACGGTAGAATACAGTATAAGCTAATGTAAAGTACTAGATAATATTAGAGATATATCTAAGGATCAATGAAAGGAAAACAAGCGTATATGTCTAGACTCAAAGATGTGGAGGACATGATAATCAAAAAGGAGCAGGGCTCGAGCCTCGAACCGCTTAAGTTTCTCCCCACTCCAAATGACAGCCCCCCTGGCGGGTCGACCCCCACCGGCTGAATGAGTGATGATCCCCAGCTCCCGATTTTGTCCTTGATTCGTCATTACGGTGTCCAATGGCAGGGTCATTAAAGGGAGGTGGAAGTGGTCTCGAGGGTCTGATTCTTATTTGAGCATGAGTTTGATCCTGAGCTTCACTTTGACACCTAAATTCCAAAAATCATTTAAAATTTCAAGCTTTGTAGTAATAATTAAAAAATGAGCATGAGCTTGACATTCATCTCTGAGCGCGACGATTCAAAAATTACTGAAATTGCTGGTTTTCAAGTTCCGTAAAATCCAAAATTAGTTAAAATTTCAAGCTTTATCCTGATAATCAAATCAGATGTTTGAGCTTGAGCTTGAGCTCGGAGCGCGACGTCTCTCAGAAATATCACTTCAAAATGCCATTTTTCAAGCGGTGTGTAAGTAAAATTTGTCTGAACGCTATTAAACACTATATAAAAAACAACAAAAAAAATTAAGTGTAATCTGCTAGTATATAAATGTCAAACATTCTGTTAAGAGCTCACAGACTTCACTGTACCTTTAAAATCCCGTGAGATGCCCTATAAGTAGCAATCAGCCCCTGTACCAATCGCCCCAAACAATGGCAACCTTCGGGATTTTTTGTGTGCGTCTGTCTGTCTCTCTGTCTGTCTCTCTCCCTCTCTCTTTCTCTCTCTCTCTTTCTCTCTCTCTCTCTCTCTCACCGTCTGCAACACCGGTCCCGATTACGGTAAACCCGAGTTCGCATTGCAATCGGGGCGTGGATCGGAACAGGGGGGTTTTTGGAAACGGCGGGCTTTCCATTGCCCAGCGGGGGGGGAATGTTACCATCATCTCATATATCACAACTTCTTTTCGGTTTTTGCTGATGGCGGGGTCGCTCTTATGCACTCATAACTGGGCGGGAAAAGGTCGAATAGAAGCCGGTTTTTTTATGAAATCAAATCGAGCATGTTTTCTGGAAATTAGTGTACAGGATCCTGGATGCGTAATTACGGATCCAGGCGTACTGGGTGTCCCAAACAAGTACGCCTTTTAGCGGGTCGGAGAAATGTTTGATTTTAACGTTTTAGATATCTATCGAAAGCTCTTGAAAAGGCGCGAAAACAAGGAGGGTTCATTTTCGATATTAAACATTTTATTCATCAAATTTTATGGCTGAAACCCACGATAAACTCGATTTATGCGTGATTTTCGCCAGATTTTCGAGCTCAAAAATCACCTGACACCTCCAAATTCTTTGCCGTTTTGTGCGCTCCGATCGTTTCGAACCCTTAGTGATCACTTTCAGTTTCTACGTGCTCCCCGGCTCCCACGGCTTATCTAGCGCTTCTTCCCCCCGGCCGTCGACCTTTCAAGATCATCACTATTTCCGTCACCTCCAATTCATTTCCTCTCCCTCAGCCGCTTTGAAAACGGATGCAAAGAAAAGTTTTGGTTTCTCATTTCAGCCGCCTCAAATTGGAGATGCAGCTCGTGCTGCGAATTTCCGTGGCAAAAATTGACCCGTGATTACGTGCAAAATAGAGAAGACAAAAAGTACAGAACCTTTTTATTAAAAAAAAAGTATAATACAATTCAACCGCGTAGTCGTAGCCCCTCAAGGAGTCCTTCTCTTCCCGGCCACGTTCTTCCTTGCGCGTCAAATATTCTACGGTAGAATGGAGATTGTCGGGGGCATCGTCGGAACCACTGGTGGCACCTTAAAAAAGTTTATAAAATCTATTAAATCTATGTAAGATAAAAATTAAAACTATATAACTTTATTACCAGTGTAATTCTTGTCGATCTAAGGGTCCAGTGCAGAAATAGAGCATTTTCGGCTTGTCGAATTCGCCTGAATATTTAAAAAATGACATTATTCTTAAAGGATCGAAAATCATAACGTCAAATTTTCAGAACTTTGAAAAACTGCGAAATGCTATGCAAAAAAAATCGAAATATTCGAATTTCAACATGATTGAACGTATGATTTTCTGCATTATGGCGGAAATCAAGAATAAAAATCGATTAATTCTATAAAAATTACATTTGCATTCGGCGGTACAATGTGGGTGAATGGTCTGGTTGCATTCGGGGTTGCATGGGTGCAGTTTTTTGGCCTTAACAATTAAAATAAATTAGGATATAAAAATTTGAGAAAAATACCTCTAAAAGTGTCTTTTCCGCGTTGTCGGGCTCCCATTGTCGAACGTCGTCCCATCGGGATCCCTCATCAGAATTGTCGGTTGGCAAGGGAGTGCTAAATTGAGCATCAGGTGTGTTCGAGAAGCAGAGGTTACATTTAACATTTACAAAACATTTTTTAAGCAAAGCTATACCGTTTCGTAGCTGTAATCTCTTCAGAATCAATCTCCGGCAAGTTTTCCGAACCGCTACTCCTGGCCTTGTGACAAAAATCGGTATACTGATGGCAGAATCCACGCAATCTGGCCGCCTCAGCTGGAGTCTACAACATTTTAGTCCAACCTCGTGCTCCTCGCCCACCTGCTCCTCCAATTTCGAGCAGAAGAACTCATAATTGTCCTTGTAGGTGTTGCAATAGTTCTTGACAGTGATCTAAAAAATTTTGAAGTTAAAAACTGCAAAATACCGATGCTTGGCGCTTGATTCTTGTTTCTTTTGGGTCGTCAGTAGGGAGGACGACTCGTTTTTCGCCTTCAAATGGTACGATGAGGAGGTCGGCACCGCTGTTGACATGGGAGGCTGAAAATTCGGGAGGTTTTGGTGTCACTATACCTTTAAAGGGGCTTATAAAAGCAAAATTTTTTTTTAAAGAGGTTTGGGTGGCGAAGCTACGGATTACAACAAATGACAGTCATTTTGAGCCTGAGATTTCAGGCCATTTTCAGGGGCGGGAAAGGCTGGATTTGCCTATGGATTTGCCGCAGCCGCGACGCAAGACAACACGCTATGTGATACGCAGCGCAGCACGCTACGCAGCACGCGCCGCAACACGCAACGCGTCGCGCGGTGCAACATTTCCGACGCAATCCATAGTCCAAAAAAACTCTATAATTTCGCCTTTCCCGTCGCTTTAAACCCTCAAAAACTCACACTCATATATTGTCGAAATCTTCGTCAAATCCTCCTCATCATGAAGCTTTGCCGAAAATCCAACAGCAACAAATACCAACACAATCCCGAGTCGATACATACTGGCCGCCGATTTCTTGGGCTGGGGAAAAGATTAGCGAACCGCAAATAAGATGGCCGAAAATGGAGACGGGGATGGGTTGAGATTGGGCAGAGAAAGGAAAGAGGCAAAAAGAAGATGGTTGGTTCTCTTGTTCCCAAAAATGACAGTCTATCATTTCCATCACCTACACTTTTCATGTGATCTTCGTTGGGTTGCACCCGGGGGTAGTGAAGGGGTTAAAAATAGAGTAGGGGTGGATCCAAAAAGTAAATGATTAGGTAGTGGGAATTTATCGACTAGACGAATCAAAATAATTGATTTTTTAGACAATACTGTACTTTGAAGCAAGCAGAATTTTTCGGAAAAGGTTTTTGCTAGCTCGGCAAGATTACAGAGAAAGCTTTATCTTAAATTCACCCTTCTCTCTCATTCTCTCTCTCTCTCTCTCTCTCTCTCACTCTCTCTCTCTCTCTCGCTGTCTCTCTCTCTGTCTCGTTCATTCTCTCTTGCTCGTCCTCTTGCTGGCACACTCTCGCTTTTGTTTTCTCGCTTCGTTTTCTCTCTATCTCTCTCGCTCTCTCTTTATCTCTCTCTCACTCTCTCCCCTCTCTCCCAGTTTTCTCTATCGCTTTCCTCCCCAATGATCGCTACTAGATTGCCTGGCCCAGCACAGCACTCGAGCATCTTTCCACCTCACTCCACAATTCCAAAACGTCCCTTTTGACTCACTTCTGTCATTCCACCCGTCAATAGTATTACGTGTACTCCGCTCCATTCCAGAGTCAATTGTTTTCAGAAATAAAGCGGAAAAATGCCCTCGGGGGGAGAAAACTAGTGATCCCAGGAGAGAGGGTCATCTCTCAATAGGTGAGTGCTGGAACGAGAAGCCTTTCCCTTCCAATACCATTGTGTCCGCATTATTTCTTGTGCTCACTTCCCGGGAGCACCAGCTGACCCATCAGTACCTAACTTTTTGTACGTACTCGTTGACCATGAGGAGCGCCATTTTTACTAGCGTATTAGTTTCATGCATTTCCGCGGCAAGCTTTGATAATTCGGAGCTGTTGTTTAAGCATCCAAAAGAATGTAGGTTTTATAAACCATTGAAATTTTTTGAATTTTTAATTTTATATAGATTTTCGGTGCTTTGGCATTATCGGGGGAGGCAATTTTTCTTGTGCTCCAAATTATCTATTAAAAATCGCAGAAGTTGTTCTAAACCTTTTTCTATTCTTGCATTCCAGAACTGCGCTAAATTTTGTTGAAAAATACAAAAAAAAATCGAGAAATTTGGCAATCAGCTTTTGAATACTTTTCCACGTGGATTAAGATTAAATTTTAGTAAACATTTTTAAAAACTTGCTATATTAATAGCCATTTTTAGATTTATAGAAAAAAAATTAAATTGCACCCTCCCCCAATAATACAAAAGTACCGGATTTTCCTAGAAATACAAAGCAAATTAGCGTATTAACTAGCAAACCTTTAAAAGCCTATTATATATCGGTTGCTTCCATGCGGTGAGCCATTCTCCGATCCAATCTGGGTGCCCGTCCTCGATCTATGCCAAAAAGACTGCGACCCGTTCAAGGAGTTTTGCGTGGAGAATGAGGACCTCGAGCAGATGTGCAAACCATGTAATAATCTATTTTTTAAGCTATAAAATCTATTACAGTACCCGAATCCTGTATAAAATTGATCAATGAAAAAGCTGAGGCTAAATTCGCGATCGCTCTTGCTCAGGCGCGGAAACTCACGTAGGTCCAATGCCTAAAACGCCTAAAAAGTGGCCCAGATTACAGTAAGAAACCGATGCGGAGGAAGAATTCGACAACCAGGGTATTTGGCTCTTATTCTTGTGAAATTTTTGGGTTTTAGAAACCAGCAGATAGTGGCTTAATCGCGATGGGACCAAAAGCAGCAGCATTAAACGAAGGTATGGCAAAAAACAATTTCCAACCTATCAATCAAAATTCCAGACCGTGCTCCACCAGCCGATCTATCAAATCCACCCCCAGGCGCCCTCGGGCTTTTTCCGCTGTTCAACCTCGACGTTAAAGATGGAAAATAATGACCGTTTGTGGTTAGTATTTATTAATAAATCTCAAAAACAAGGCACAAAACTAGAAACTAAACAAAAAAGGCGTAAGAGGATAAAAGGCGTAAGTCAAATAAAATACAGGACAAGAAGATACAGATAAACAAAAAAGAACATTCGAATGTAGCACGTCGATCAATTGACGAGAAAACAGTTCGATTATTATTGACAGCGGGGAGGGGCTGGCGGAGCTTCGGCGCACAGAAGCTCGAGCTCGCGCCGGGTGTCGGCGATCTAAAAATGAAATCTAATAATACACACAAAAACTAATGCCTGGCGCGAAAAGAAAACCTACAGCCTGCCAACTTCCAATGATCTTGCACAGAACCTTGCCGTCTTGCTCATCGCGCGAAAGGTCGATTTGGGCGTATGTGCGTGCCTAAAAAAAAAATTTCAAAACTTAAACTGATACTGAAGTATATACCATTATGTCCTTGATCGTGTCGAGGCTGGGCCCGGCGCCTTCAGTTGACAGCTTCATCCAAACCAGCGACCGTTCTGACGTAATCTAAACCGAAAATAAAATCATTTTACGTAAAATCGTTGAAAACCGCACCTCGATAACCTGCGGGGTCGCGCGTTCGATGGCAGCCGCGGGCCCGTACAGCGTTACCTCGCGCATCTCGGGCGCATCTGGACAGTCGTGTTTTTCGACCTAAAAAGAGTTCAAGGGAAAAGAAAACGATTCCTCACGTAAATTTGCTGGAGGCCAAATTCCCTAGTGATGCGTCGGATTGTCTCGCCGTGGTACCCGATCAGGTAGCCAACCTTCTGGGTGGGAATGCGCAGCTTCAAGGAGGTCATCGGTTCGGTTGGCATTTTCGTATGGGCTCTGATACCTGTAAATAATTGATTAGGGATTGATCCAGGAAAGATAGACACGAAACGGAAGAGAGCACTCGTGAAAAGAGAAAATCTGGAGATCGCTGTTTGAGAAAAGTTTAAAGTTTGAGAAAAATTAAAAAATGTGCATCCAGCGTCTGCATTATCAGCCATAGCAGCTCGTACGGAAGATGACTTATATTGGACGAAGCTTTCGTGGCTTTTGATCCATTTCCTTGTTCATCATCCGCCCTATTCAGCGGGATCTTGGCATCATTGCGATCGAAAAAATCGTAGTCGATGATGGCCACGTCGTTCAATCGTTGAACCGCTTCTCAATGATTTCCTGACCAATCGCCGACTTGTTTGTGCCGAATTTGTTTGAATTTGAGGCGAAGTGGACGTCGCGATAGATAGGTAGACTTTAGTTAGCACCAAGTATTTTTAAAACTAAGAAATAGCGATGAAAACGGCTCTTTTACATGCCTTTTCTTTTTTTTCTTACGAAAGTTGCTCAAACGTCGTTTTCCCGAGCTGCTCAAACGTCGTTGCGCAGCTCTCATGTTCCGTCGAAACATCGCGGGCGTCAGATCGTCAAATCGAGAAGTCCCTTCTCAGCCGTAGACCGAAGATTTCCATCGCTGCAGCCTTGCCGACAATTCGTTGCTCCATGCGTGTGGACATGCCTGGAAAAGGAAAGATGCCGATCGCCGCAAAAGCTAGGTAAGCCTAGCCAGGGCGTCTGGCATCAATTTCTTTCAGTAAATGACTCAAAATGCTGAAAATAGTCGAAGAGGGAACAAAGATTCAGTCGAAACTGCAAAAATACCTTCGATAAAGCAAGTTCTCGCAATGCGACCCGAAAAACGAAACGCACCACTTTACGGTCATGCGGAATCACGTACGCCCCGGAACGGAGACTGCGTAAATCCTGCGGATCTTAGCTTTTTTGAAATAGTACTCTTTTACTCTAGTAATTTCTCGTCTTCTTTTTTTGGAAACTACAAACGTACTATACTATAGCCGCTTTTGCCATCCTTTTTCGTGTTGCGCATGATACAAAATTGTTTATTTCATAAACCTTCGACAACCAACGTCATTTGCTTTAAGCTCTTGAATTCTGAACTACAAGGTACAAAGTGAATATTGACAAATATCATGCTCACAAAAGAACGAGTCGCAGGGAGAACACGTAAAGCGTAAATTGGATGGAAAATGGAGGTGAAAATACGCTGGAGCACCGGGACAGCTTTTAATTTTTGGATTTGTGTCCAAATTATTGCACGAGATGGGAGGGGACAGGGGCGAATCTCACAACCGGAAAATTGACCGGACATTTTTGATGGCATTTTTGGACAATAATGATTTTTCGAACAATAGTGGTCTATAAATTGTCCCTGATAGGTGTTTTGAAGCAGTTTCTAATAATTTAATTGCTTCTCCGCGTGATTTAGATGCAAGAAGTGCACGTTCTCTTCATGCAGAGAATCGCCGACAGCAGGTTGAGAAGGACTAAAAATCAAAATTTTACGCTTTAATGCAAAATTTGCCTTGCAGTGCCGAGACGACGATTTGAATTGAGTTTACAGCGATGCCAACCTAAAACATTTTAAATAATTAAGAATAAGCCCACTTTCAGCTGAAACAGGCAGCTGCGGAAGTCGTACTTATCCATATGCGAGAAAATATAGGAAATTCGGCTGGGGTCATGCTCGCCGAGCAAGCAAAAAGCCGCGCCACGCTCGATTTTCGGGTGGCCATAGGTGCCGACCGTAATCCAGTTTCTAAATTAATTTTTTGCAATTTAAAATCTATATTTCATAAAATTACCTAGTAGAAAGTCCTCCACCAATCAAGCACATTCCAACGCACACTAATGACATTACCAGATGGGCCATGTAGAGATTGATAGACCCGATCTAAAAGTTATTTATAAATATGAAAATATGGAAGCTTTTGGACATATAAAAGAGGTGCTTATAACCCTTTAAAGGAACTTGGAAGTGCGAGAGTCGACGTCCATCTTGGACTAGGTATCGAGAGCTACGTTGCACGCTAAGATCGCTGCGCTTAGGGGCGTTTTGGAGTGTTGCGTAGATGTCGACGCCTAGTCAAAATTTGGGGTCGATTCACGCTCTTTCTGATCCATTTAAAACCCGAAATCGTGAGTGATACACTCGCGACGGTGGACAATTTTGGGCATGCTTTGAACGGGACAAAAATACCGAAGAAAATGCCTGTTTTTGTGACCTTATTATGGAACCAGCCGCCTTCAGGGACCTAAGAAATAAATTTAGGAAAATTATCAGAAAATTCTAATACACTTTTAATATATAAAATTATTTACAAAAATAGTTCTTGGCTATTAAACTCTATTAGACCCACCTTGGCAGCAGCCGACCCAATTATCGCATTAATCAGGAAGAAAGCGCCGGTCCAAATGGCTGAATGCCAGGGGCAATAATCGGACGTGTCCCTTGCACACCAGATTCCACCGCCGAGCACTACCACTAAAAACGTAGCTATATATTTTATATACAGGTTTATAAGCAAAATTCCATTAAATTCTCCTTACATGCCAGCATAGCCTCCACGAGCGCCAATCGGAACATGCCCCGGTTTTCTCGTCGCGGGAAGCGGTCGAACCACATCGGATTGTAGGCCGGCTGGGCATATTCACTCTAGAAAATTGGTAAATTAAATGGATTGTCAAGGCTTAGCAATGGATTTCAGTAGCAGCAGCCGCCACACGCAACGCACACGCAAGGTTTGATACACTTTTCAAGGGACTGACAAGGCAGAATTAGGGTTTTTTTTCTTGTATGATTTTCTCTAGATTTTGTTGCTACAGCCACACGCAACGTGCGCTACGCTTTTCGGCATTTAAGGGGCGTAATCAGTTGCTTTTCAAGGAACTGGCAAAGCAGAAGTCAGAGGTGTGCGTCGCGTTTCCCGTAAGCGGTATATTCATGAGAAACCTATAGCCCTGCCTTGCCCGTCTCTTTAGGTGCCGTAATCGATTACGCGATCAAAGGGCCGATTGGTGCGTTGCGGGTCGCGAGCGGCAAAACCCGTAAGCAACCCATAATCGACAAAATCCAGTGTCTCAGCTCATTTTTTCAGAGATTCGCATTTTTTCCAGTCTTACAATACCAACAAAACGCAAGCTTTTTTTTATTTAGGTCCCTTTTCAACAAAGCGTCCCTGCAAAAAATTTGCCAAAGCGCCGGCAAGCAGCTGGCCGCTTCAACACACGTCAAAAGGCAGGTAGGGGCCAGCTGTTAGGGCCAAACGAACGTGAATTCCGTTTCTTTCACGTGTTTTCCGGGGAATTGCGAGCTTGATGCTTGAGCTCAGGGCTGGAGTTCGAGTTTTGTGACAACAAGATTAGAGTATGGAGGGTAGGGGGTGTTAGAAGCTGACCACTGGAGGGATGGGCGGAGGGTGGTTTGGTGGTCGTCTTCCGGCTGATGCGTACGATGGGACTGGAGAGGCACCACCGTGGTTCTGGAATGATGAAGCCATTCGCTAGCAATACACAGGGCATCGCATACGCAGCATGCTGTTTACAATAGGATCTTTACAAAAAGCATCATATTTCTCGAAAAACTTGTAAATGCTAACTAAAATAACTAATCCTTTATTTTATAGTTTAAAATAGAGAAATTCTCTCTAATTTATCTATTAAAACCGTGATAACAGTTTTGAATAGCCGAAATCTATAAAAAATTGTCGAGACTTTTCAAAACATTAGAATTTTAAAAGCGTTTTTCATGATTTTATGACAAAATATCAAAATCGACTTGTTTTAGCTATATAACCCCTATAATAATTTTTAAAATATGTCATCCTCAACAAACCACAAAATTAAACTTTTTCGAAAGCTTTTAAAATGTATCAAAATTGCTTAATTTAATAACGGATTTTTAGGATTTTCCCTAAAACTGCTCTAGATGGTTTGCCTATTTAAACCTTAAAATTTCATAAATTCACAAAAGCATCAACTTTTCAAACTATACACGCTTTCTTACCCCGGTCATCGACCCCGGCTGTCAAAATCGATAGTTTTTCGTGATTTTTCAAGGCACCAACCTGGTTGATGTTGATTTCCAAGCTTGGGGCGGTGGGACCGGGTACTGGCTGGTAGCCCCCGTAGACCATTTTGTTGTTTTTCTGGTTTTGGTAGGCGAATTTGTTGTTATAGTACTCGTTGCCCATGGTCTGGAGAGTATAAAAATCGCAAAACACGTGAAATTACTCACAAGACAAAATAAAAATTTTTAAAACAAGATTGACGTATAATGAAGTTCGAGCGTCAAGGTGAGGGTATAAAATCAGACCGGAAATTACCGGAAATGAGGTGTAGCCTTTCAATAAGTTACAAAATTACGATATCAACGGTTTTCTAGGATATTTTCGAGAGTGGAAAAATTGATAATACTGATAAAATAAAAATAAAAATTCTGAAAAACCGAGATTGACGTATAATTAAGTTCGAGCTTCAAGCTAAGAGCCTAAAATCCCGCCGGAAACCACCAGAAATCAGGCCTAGCTTCTCGAATAGTCCTAGTTCCGGGGAGCAAAGTTTTCTAGAATTTTTTCGAGAACAGAAAAGTTGAAAATACTCAAAACACAGCCAAAAACCTTATCCTTAAAACATTTTCCGGAGGTGTGAAGCCGGGGAGGAGTTGACATTGGAAACAAGAGGGTCATAATGATAAGAGAAAGTGGCGAGAATGAGAAATAGAGCACAAGAAGATGAAGAAACGAAAGAAGAGGGTGTGGACAAACGATCGATCCGTGTGGAACAGGGCACATTCTCTCAATTCCCCCCCGCCCTCCGATCACATCCAAAAATTGAAACCATAGTCGGGGGCTGTCTGGGGTGATTAATGGGGGGTTAGTTTGGGTTCTGGAAATGAGGATGGGGCGTCAAAAATCCGTAAATTTATTGGAAAAATATTTTAAAAAGTTTTAGAAATTTCGTTATTTAAAACAATCACCATTTCCGGCGTAATGACGTTAAAAGCTTGGTAAAAACCGGATTTACATAAAAATCCAGCTGTTTACATTTTAAGAGCCATATAGAGCCGAATTTTGTAAAATTAAATCAATATAAAAAATTCTATTTAAATTTAAAATACGGGGGCAAAAATAGAATTTCAAAATCTGATTTGAAAAACTGGCGCGGCCATCCGCTAGACGATGAACCGAAGCGGGATGAGAGTCAGAGAGAGAGAGAGAGAGAGAGAGAGAGAGAGAGAGAGCCAGAGCCAGAAATTCGCGGGAAAAGCCAGCGCTTGCCCTCTCTTCAATCCTCGATTCCCCCATTCGTATGATTAATTGCCTCGCGTATTCATCATCTATGTTTACAAAAGGCCAGCGCTATGATAGAATCGGTTAAAAAATGGTTAAGCTTTTCAAAAAGTATATAAATTCATTCTGCAAAATTTAAGATGGGAATTCACTTAAAACCAGGTAAAAGCTAATAAAAAAGTTCTCAAGCGAATATAAATAATCATGCTCCAGAAACTTCAGAAAGAATAGTATTCCCGTCAAAATGTGTCACTCCGAGTGGCGGGGTCGACTCGCGTGATTCGATTACACCCTCCCAGACGTGCATCCCGGTTTGATCTCTCAAGCGACTGATGAAATTGAGCGTTTCCTGGAGGTTTTTTAGGAATAAAGCTGCGTCTTTTTCCTCTAGAATCCACCAAAAAAATTCGAAAAAATGAAATTCTCAGGTGGCAGTGGAGAAAAGAGACGCGAGACGAGGTCGGGGGGTGAAATCTGATATGCTGGATCGAAGGCAGGGCACCCCGTTTGGGACCTTTTTTGAGGTCCAAAAGCTGGTTGGGCCCTTTTTTGGGGGGTCTCTGGCCCTTTGGCAGAGTTGGTGGCAGACCCTCCCGATTGTGCGGATTTCTGGAGGTCGGCTTTGGCTTCGCAGGGATTGCGGGTCGAGCCGGGAAGGGCTTCTTCTTCTCTTTTGGGCTTCTCGCGTCGACACGCTATCGGCCCATTAGTCTCCGTGTCAGCCACAGCAGTAAAACGAAGAAGAAAAGCATGGGGAATGTTTAGGGTAGAGGGGGGGGAAGGGTTTCCGTTTAGGTTTTTAAGGGGCTGATGGTGTTTTGGGCTGAATGGGCGTTGTAAACCTAAGCCAAAAATTACGCATAAGTCTAAGTCCAAGCATCCTAAGCTTTAGCCTTATAAATGTCAGAGAAAAACTTTTAAAAATCAATTGAAAGAATCAGATTTACCAAACCAAAAATCCCAACCCTTTGAAGCCCCCGGAAAATGTAAAAAACGTGTGAATTAGAAGAGCCCTCCGGTCGATGGGTTTCGACAGGAAAAGATCGAATCCTCGTCCGTGTAAAAGAATAGAGAGAGAGCGAGAGACAGCGAGAGAGAACGAGAGAGAGAGAGCGCGTGAGAGTGAGAGAGGGAGAAGGCTAGGGTGGGCGGTGGGCCTGTCTATTTGTTCAGCTTCTCGTCCCCCCATTGCCGACACGACCCGGGTCCACCTTCTGCCACCGCATCCATCCTCCTCCCCGACTAATAGAACAGTACCCACACTTCAGTAGAGAGAGAGAGTGGGTGAAAGAGAGAGAGAGAGAGAGAGAGAGAGAGAGAGAGGGAGAGCGAGCGATAGCTTCTGATTTTTCGAAGGGATGGGGGAAGAATGAGGATGGGTGGGTGGGGCAAATAAATGCGCGTGATCGGATGGGTATATTGAGGGGGCTGATTAGTCATCATTCTGGAGAATAGAGTATTTATATCAAGTAGTGAAAAATATAAAGGTATCCGTGGATTTAAAAAATACAAAAAAAAATGGATAATATTGGGTTTTGAAGAAGAAAAAGAAGAAAGATCCTTTCGTTTTCCTGCACTTTCGTTTTTCTGCACTTCAGGGTTACGATACGATATTGGAAGACGGAGATGTATTCGAGGAAATAGGCCAATGGCCTGCTTAGGCTAGATTCATGCTTGGGCTTAGGCTTAGGCTTAGGCTTCGGCTTAGGCTTTGGCTTAGGATTTGACTTAGGCTTACTTACGCTTAGACTTAAGCTTACTTAGGCTTAGGCTTAGGCTCGGACCTCCACTGGAGTTCGAACTGTTCAGATCTTTTTCTTAAAACGCAACCCATTGGCCAAGAGGGCCCCGGCCGGGTTTGTCGAAAAGCAAAGGTGTTTGGCCGGAAAAATGGCAGAAGTGACAGGCTGTCAACGATCAACCAACTCACCGATCAAAGGCATTCGAAGGGCCCAGCAAGAACTTTTCTACCTGGCTCCCTGTTTTTTTCAGTTTATAAATTAAATTTGTCGTTAATCAAAATTTCTAAACTTAAATTAGATCTTCTAATCATTTGATACGCATTAATGCATTAGATAATGACTCAGAGACGCGATTTTCAATTTTTAACTCGATTTAAACTCTTTTTAGCTCTATTTGGAGAATCGCCGCCCTGTAAAACAGCCAAAATTCCATTTTATCGTATTTTTTCCAATAATACAACCAGCCATAAAAAAATCCACCTCCCCCGTTCCCTACATCCGCCTCTCCAAATCGGCGGTGATAAATGTTTTTCTATACCTGTAACCTGCCCCTGATAAGCCCCGTCGTTACACCCCGATCTGGCAATTACATCAGCCCCTATTTTCACACCTACCATTTCTGAGTAAATTCAATAAATTTCGGGATTTTTAGCTTATTCCAAGTAGGTCTCTGTTCCGCTTGGCAACATAATATGGCACAGAAAATGGTAATTGCCACGTTGCAACACAAGTTTTCGCGGAGCCTGACGGAATTTTTGTGCTAATTTTGAGAATATGCTAACAATTCCTAAAATGTCTTGGTTATTTAAAAATTTTTTAACTTTTATACGCTCTAAGATGACTGAGATGATTGTTCCCCCTTTCAGTTATGAGTGAATTTAATAAATACTTCAAATTTTCCACTTAGAATTACTACTATATTTGTCTCCAGATTCCAAGTAACGCTACATTTCGGTTGGCAACAAAATACGGGCCGGAACTCTTAGAACTACCACTTTGAGGGCCCATTTTGCCGGCCGAGCGGGGGTCTCGCGTAAATTTCATAATTTTTCCAATTAAATATTGTGGCCCCGGCTTATTACAAACATACCAAGTAGCATTCCATTCCGATTGGCAACAAATCACCCCCTCCCCCCGAAAAACTTGAAATTATCACTTTAGAGGGTCAATTTTGCCGGCAGTACGGAATTTAATAGTTTGCAAACGGTTGGTTACTATACTAATTCTTTCCGTCATTCCAAGTAACGTTCCATTCCCTTTGGCAACAAAATACGATCCGGAAAACTCGTAATCCCCATTTGCAGGCCCAATTTCCCGACCGAACCCCATTTTCGCGCAAACCCCGGGGTTTCGATTCTGAATATTAGTTTCCGCCGCCGCTGGGCAAATGAGATACTTCCCGGTTTGTTGCGCTTTTCATCGCAAGATCTTTGGGCCGGGAGTTCGTGCGCATAATTAGACCGGGCCTTGATTGGCAAAATTGGGTTGGTTATTTCGGAAAAGGGCGCCTCTTAAAATGTTTAATTTTGAGCGCGGCGGGGGGTTCGTAATAAGGGTTGGTGGGGGTTTTGGAGGGGGTGTAATTGGGGGTTGTCGTTCGGAATTCCGGTTGGGATACTGAATTTTGGTATTTTTGGATACATTGATGGGGGATAGAACTTAAAATTCGTACTTTAGGGCTTTTAAAGGGGGTGCACAAGATGGTACGCTGATTTTCTATGGATTTTCAGCAACGCAACGCGACGCAACGCAACGCGCTGCTACGCGCCGCTACGCGCTTCCAAAATTTTGTATCTAATACGTAAGATAAAGTTATATGCGCTGCCGCGTCGCGGGGAATTCTTCTGAACGCGGAATTTTACATTTTTTATTTTTAAAGGGACAGGCAAGGCTGGGCTATGGCTTTCTATCGGTCTTCGGGCACCGGGACCTGCAACGTCGGCCTCATCATTTAAAACATTTTTCTAATCATTTACGCATGATAAATGCGAGCGTGCGCGTAAATTACGGAAATTCCACAGTGCTGACTTGCCAGCCCCCTTAAAGGTCTCTTATCGCTTAATAATTCAAATTACGATATCATACTATAATTACTTTACTACGCTAAGCCTCTATCCACTTCACAAACCCGTTTTAACTTTCTAAAACCGACAATCTCTG